GTGAGCGATTTGTGCAGGGGTAGCACCCCTGAGTTTAAGAATAAAATTCAATGTGGCGTATTATTATTTTAAGTCTTAAGTACTGTCTCTGTTGTTGCTGCCTCAGGGGATCCCGAATATTCAGGCAGAGCTGGCAACTCATCGGTGCAAGCATGCCGAATCATAGAAACATTTAGTTGGGAGGGATCCTGAGGGTCATCTAGTCCAACCCCCTGCAGTGCAGGAATATCAACTAAATCATCTATGACAGGTGACTAAAAAGGTAAAGGACCCCTGGCAGTTAAGTCCAGTCATGAACGACTCTGGGGTTGCGGTGCTCATCTCGCTTTAGTGGCCAAGGCAGCTGATGTTTATTCGCAGACAGTTTTTCCTGGTCATGTGGCCAGCATGACTAAGCCACTTCTGGCGAACCAGAGCAGCGCACGGAAACGCCGTTTACCTTCCCGCTGGAGTGGTACCTATTTATCTACTTGCACTTTGACGTGCTTTCGAACTGCTAGGTTGGCAGGAGCTGGGACCGAGCAATGGGAGCTCACCCCGTCGTGGGGATTCAAACCGCCGACCTTCTGATTGGCAAGCCCAAGAGGCTCAGTGGTTTAGACCACAGCGCTACCTGCGTCCCAACAGATGACTATCCAACCTCAAAAAACTCCAGGGAAGGAGAGTCTACCACCTCCTGAGGGAGTCCAGGTGTCTCAATGCTAGGAAAAGCCCACCTCACCAATGGAGCTGACATTCCCTTCCAATAGAGCACTCAAGAAGGATGAAGGCAGCATGGGATAATTTTATATGTGCATGCACCACCTGTTCTCAGTCATCACCATAAATCCTGTCTGGATATTAATTTTGCTCAACATAATTGTTCAGCACTAGGATAAGCTCCCCTAATAAATATTCTCAGATTAGCAGAACCAAAACGACTTATGTCTTGATTGTTTTCTTTTGAAATAAAAGGCCTTTACGTTGCCATTTTTTAGCGTGTTGCTTCTTGCGCCTAACTCACCCTTGCAACTGGTGTGCGCTGCATGAAATAAATAGAGCCAGACTCTAGTGTGCGTTTTTCACTGGATGTATGTTCCACTAAGTTTGATGCACCTTGCTGGCAAGTGAATGTTTCCAGGCTTGCCGACTTATTTCGTGTTGCAGCCTGGGAGAGTCGCTCTTTAATATGTGGGTGAGATTGCTGGCAGCCACAAACCTACATCTGAAGGTGCGACGTTAGAGGTTTTATTCATAAACATGTATCCACATGCCATACCCATGCTCTAACTGCAGTGTGGAAAGGGTGTGTGCAAGTCTCTTCATTTTTTTAAATTGCTGTTTTGATGAGGCACAGATAGAATAGATAATGAGTTCAGCATATTTGTGAAGAGACACAAATATCACAGGAGTGCCTCAGCCTCTAAACAAGAAAAGCAAACACTGATGTAAAGCTCGTAGGTTTCCCATAGGCATCTAGTTGGTCACTGTGAGAACAGAATGCTGAACCAGGTAGGACTTTGGTAGGATCCAGCATGGCTCTTATACAGGCAACACTTACGTGCACAACCACATATATGCACAGCGCTGGGAAATAAATAATTTGATTCAAAGCTGGAAATGGTGCGAGAGCAAGAGAGCTGGAGAGTCCTCGTTGTTTGCAAGGAGATCTGCCCCGGAGCTCGAAGAGGATATCAGTGAAGGCGGAGGAAGCCCCAAAGAGACCAGAGGCACAGTGGGACTTTGTTTACGCTGCTCAGCCTCCCCGCTTAACAGTTGGTGTGTGGGTAGCTCAGCAGCTGCTTCCCTGTACACCCTCCAGCCTCCTGCTGGCCCCAGAGCTTCAATTCTAGTTGTGGATATTTTTGGAGACAGCATTTGTGGTATGAATTGGAGAGTGGCAGACAGGACCTTTAAAGGGTGTTTAGAGGGTGCTCCCCACTTTACGCAATTTCACTTACGCGTGTGGGCCCGGAATACAGGAGGTGCCTATATTCTTAATTTATAATATAGTGTTTAAGACTAGGAGCTATGAAGTACATAAGCCAAATAATATCTCAGCCACTTTTATTAGGTAGTTTTAGACGAGCCTCTCTCTTTGTTGCCTCAGCCTCACCATCTACCACGTGTGTCCTGTCCCTTTTAATATTATTGCTGCCAACTACTTATTATTTATCTACTTACAGCATTTATACCCCATTGTTTGGACAAAAAGCGGCTGACAGAAATCGGTATTTTGACAGTCCCTGAACTCAGTCTTACAGTCTAAAAAGACATGACACATGGAAAAAGGAACAGGAGGGATGAGGAAAAAGCAAACTCGAGCATACATGCTTAAAGTTACAGTTCTTATAACACAGTTGAGAGCAGCAATTCTTTGTGGGTGGCAGTGGAACCATTTTCACAAAGGGGAACTTTACTGAGAAGACAAAGGCAAGGCTCAGAGGCTGTTTTCATAGCCACTAACTGGCCTCGCTATCTTAAAGGTAAATGAAATATACTTGGAGTCGAGAGTGGATTTCATGCTCTTTATTCAGTTCATAGTGGTGAGGAGGAATGGAAGTTCCCCCAGAATGTCTGCTTTATATACATTATTTACACAATGGGCCCCACATGATTGGCTAATTCTGGGATTCTCCTGTAGGCCAATCAGATTGCGGATTCACTTCCACCTGGAGCTGGATTGGGTGGCTCCTGTGGACCAATCAGACTGCAGCATTCTGGGTCCTATTGTTCTAAGACCAATCAGACTGCTGAATTTTGGATCCTATTCAACTCAGTACATAACAGTAAAGGTAAAGGTAAAGGTAAAGGTACCTCTGACTGTAAGGTCCAGTTGCGGACGACTCTGGGGTTGTGGCACTTATCTCGCTCTACAGGTCGAGTGAGCCAGCGTTTGTCCGCAGACAGCTTCCAGGTCATGTGGCCAACATGACTAAGCCACAGCAGCGCACGGAAACACCGTTTACCTTCCTGCCAGAACGGTACTATCTACTTGCACTTTGACATGCTTTCGAACTGCTAGGTGGGCAGGAGCTGGGACCAAGCAATGGGAGCTCACCCCGTCACGGGGATTTGAACCACCGACCTTCTGATCAGCAAGCCCTAGGCTCTGTGGTTTAGACCACAGCGCCACCCACGTCCCTGTCTTATGCTAGTCCAAAGGGGACAAAGAAGACCACAGAGAAAACTTAGTCATCTTTATTCAGAAGTTCCAGCTGAGTTTTGTGTGACTTAATTCTGTATGTAATAATGTATGTAATAACGCAGTCTTAGTTCCTTAGATTCAAGGGTCAGCAAACCAGATGTGCAGGGGAAACTCCTTAATGATACTTTCTATAAAATCTCCTCCCTTTTCACCTGTCATTTGCATCATTTCACTGTTAACACCTATAGGCAACTTCTAGTTGCGAAACTGGCAGCTCAAGTATATCAACCTGAGCAGCGTACAATAATACAGAGTAGAAGAACCTGTTAGCAGATGAGATATGGAATTATTTCAGCATCAGTTGAAGAGCATACATGCATAATCAGGCCTCTGTGTAGGTTACCATTCTACAGAAACACAAGAAAACTACAATCCAGAATGTGGTATTGGGCATAGTATCCATCTTCCTGAGAATATACATCAAGGTGCAAAATATGCTTGAAAATATATGGGTAACGCCTGCTAAACTCTCAGACACCACAAGGGTAGTGGAACAAGATTTCCAGTTTTGCCCTGCACAACTCCTTGTCCTGTATAACACATTACAAATTGCAGGCTACATTATGCAAAGTAAGTGAAATGTCAAAAACGTGCATAACTGACAGGAGCAAGCCAGCAGTAAATCACACCAAGCAAGCTGGAGTTAACTCTTTATGAGCAAAACAGGATCTGCACAGGAGTGTCAGGCCTAATGAGCACAGCGGCTCAGGTCTTTCCTCAGCGAGGCTCCTCCCCAGGTTCCTTCCCCAGCAGCCTAAGGCTCCTTTGTCTTGTCTCTCTTTGCTCAGCCCTCTTCATTTCTCTGTGTTTTCTGAGAGATGAGTAGGGAGGGGAGGAGCTGGTCACAGCAGGAGGGGCAGACTCCCTGATTTCTTCAGCAGCCTGCATCATCTCTGTCTCCTGGTCCCCCTCCACTTCTGCCTCTGATTCTGGACGGCTCTCTGCACAGGCTCTTCTTGCTCACTAAACCCTGTTGCCTTTTCAGCTTCTGACACCTCCTCCTCCCAGTCTTCCCTTTCTTTTCCCTCTGACACTCATGGTCATCCTGAGGCAAGGAAGGAAGGGCTACCCCTATACTATTCATATAACCAGTTATCAATAATCAATATATTCAATATATATGCTTACACGAATCAAGGATTACAGTATTTTATAAATCCACTTGAATCAAAAGGGAAGCTGTGCCTTAGCTAAAAATGCAAACTGCTTGGAACAGCAAGTAGGAACCGACCTTTCCCCTAGAAACATCTGTGCACCCCGGACAAGACATGAATCAGAGATTCTGGTACAAATTCCCCATCAGAAACAGGCTAAATTAATCCACAGAACAGGAAGAGCAAAACCACAAAATGTCCAAGCTCCCTGTCCTGTCATAATTAGGGGAAAGGTTAGACTGAGCGTCACTGGGAGCATTGGAAAGCGGAACTGGAACCCTGGGCTTGACCAGTGCTATACCAGTAGCTAGGAGCGTGACAACTGCTTGCTGATTGGCTGATGTTTTTGCTGACCAAGTATGAGTCCTTCGTGATTGTCTTATGATCTATGATTTGCTGTGATTTGCTCAGGTATAAAGACCCCTGTATTTCTGTCAATCGGGGTCCCAGTTCTTTGGAAGAGATTCCAACTGGGTCCTTATTGCCTGGCAATAAACTTCACCTTCTTATTCTCCATTGCTGCGTCTGGCTGATCCTTATCCCTTGCAACAATCCCACCACCAGTCCCCTGGCTCGGAGCCGCCTTCCCCTGGGGGTTCCCTAGCTGGTGTCTCCCACCCTTCCTCAACATCCAGCCAGTCCATAGCTTAGCTGTGTGCTGTGCGAATAAGTGCTTTCTGTTGCCTGGCATGAACCATCCAACATTCAGCTTAGCGGAACGTCTCCAAGTTCTAGTACTATGAGGGGGGAATACCTTCTCTCTATCTCCTTCCTTCATACCATGCTTAATTTTACAAATCTCTACCACGTCCCCCACTTACTTGCCACAATATCTAGGGAACGTTTCGCATCAAACTTTGCAGGAGAGAATATGGGGAAGAGGGGAATTAGCTTCAGCACTGGTTCAGAGAATGTAAGCCAGAGCCTTTGTGGCAGTTAGTCCGCCAACTGTTGCCACAGCTTGGCCACCACTGTCTCCTGGCAACCAGAGTCTTTTCCAGCGTGAGAACGAATGAATGGTTGGCTTTGAACTGGTTGCTGGAAGTTAGAGGCTCACAGCGCTGCTTTGTTCTGCCTTGCCTGGCTGAAGGAGAAGCAGAGGCTCGCAGCTGAGCCCTCATCTCATCCACGGTTGCAAGAGCCCTTGCACCCATCACCATGAACTACCCCCCAGGGTGAGCCAAGGAGCGAGTACTCCGCGGAACGGAACGAGATGTGTTTCTGCAAGGATCCAAATGCTTATATTGTGGTGATGAGCAGCTGGCGTGGCAGTTATTCCAGAACAATTTAAGACTGTGGTTCTCAACCTGTGGGTCCCCAGATGCTGTTGGACTACAACTCCCATCATCCCTGAGCTCTGGCCTTGCTAGCTAGGGATGATGGGAGTTGTAGTCCAACAACATCTGGGGACCCACAGGTTGAGAACCGCTGCTTTAAGAGATGCTTACCTCCTGACGGTGCTCAGACATCCGTTCCCCTAGTTGGGAAGTCTCTTTTCTATTTATTAATTTTATTTGTATACTGCTATATCGTAAGAACAAATCAAGGTGGTTTACAGCAAGAAAAACATAGAAGCATACAGTAAAAGCGTTTCCAAACAGCAAATCTACAGCCGCCGTGCCTGTACGCGGCCTCAGTGTGTAGAGCAGCCCCCGCCTGAGCCCAAACCCTGAAAAACAAGACATTTCCTTTAAAATGTAAAAATCTGCCTGGATGGGCATGTTGCCAGCACCCCCACCCCCCAAAAAGAGGACATGTCCAGGTTTTCCCAGACGTATGGCAACCCTACCTTGCACACATGCACATACCCTCTAGCTATAGATAAATGTTGGGCTTAAGCCAAATGGACATGAGGGTTACATCTTGTTATTTTGTACTGTGCAATATTCCTGAAGCGTTACATGGTGCTAGGAACAGTGTATCATCTTTAAGCTGTTGGTTGGTCTGGTGCAAAATGTTATGACCGCAGCCCTAGCTATACCTCTCTCTCTCTCTCTCTCTCTCTCTCTCTCTCTCTCTCTCTCTCTGTAATACACACAGAGACTCAACATTTGATTGCGTTTGATTTTGCATAATGTTTGATTGTGACTGGTTTGTGATTTAACATTTCTATAACGGGAGCTGCCTTACAGAGGTTTGTCACTAAAAGGCCTAAAATACAGTGGTACCTCGAGTTACAGACACTTCAGGTTACAGACTCTGCAAACCCAGAAATAGTACCTCGGGTTAAGAACTTTGCTTCAGGATGAGAACAGAAATCATGTGGCGGCGGCGCAGCAGCAGCGGGAGGCCCCATTAGCTAAAGTGGTACCTCAGGTTAAGAACAGTTTCAAGTTAAGGACGGACCTCCAGAACGAATTAAGTTCTTAACCCGAGGTACCACTGTATTTTAAATGCTGTTGTACACCACTCCACTCTCCAATCGTTGTGAGATCCCAGGGGTTCCAGATACTTACCAAAGGTCTGTGTTTCCTTTTGGGAATGAGGCACAGCGGAGACTGTGGTGTCTTTATGATAAATGGTTTATTTACACATACAGTAGTACCTCGGGTTACATATGCTTCAGGTTACATATGCTTCAGGTTACAGACTCCACTAACCCAGAAATAGTACCTCGGGTTAAGAACTTTGCTTCAGGATGAGAACAGAAATCGTGCTTTGGCAGTGCGGTGGCAGCTGGAGGCCCCATTAGCTAAAATGGTGCTTCAGGTTAAGAACAGTTTCAGGTTAAGAACGGACCTCTGGAATGAATTAAGTTCTTAACCCGGGGTACCACTGTATATACAACCTGAGCCTCCGAGGGAGGAGTTCACAGCATCAACACCCCAAAAAGGCCTTGTTTCTCCCAAAGCCACAGCCTTGGATTCAAACAGGATTCAAACAGGCATTGCTCTCAAAGTTGCTCTGACTCTCTTTCCAGTTTGCTGCTTTACTTCTAGGTCATACCACAGCCCCTTTCGACACTAATCTCAGACGCTGTCCCTCTCTCTCTGAGCTGGAAGGGTGCCCCATACATTTGCCATCTCACACAGAGCCCCCTTTCCTGTCTCTTAATTGCCTATCACTCAGACAATCATCTCAACACAAGAAGCTAGCCTGCTTTATATCTGCTGGATTGAGGGGTTAGAAGGATCTGGTATACAGCCAGTGCTTTTTTCTGGGGGGGGCACGCGCACCCCTAAACATTTTGTGTTGCCTCGACCGACGTACAGTGGTGCCCCGCAAGATGAATGCCTCGCAAGACGGAAAACCCGCTAGACGAAAGGGTTTTCCGTTTTGGAGGTGCTTCGCAAAACGAATTTCCTATGGGCTTGCTTCGCAAGACGAAAATGTCTTGCGAGTTCCTGCAGGTCCCCCCCCCCTTTTCCCAAGCCGCTAAGCCACTTATCAGCTGATCCGCTAAGCCGCTTAACAGCTGATCGCTAAGCCGCTTATCAGCTGATCCGCTAAGCCGCTTAACAGCTGATCCGCTAAGCCGCTAATCAGCTGATCGCTAAGCCCGCTAAGCCGCTAATAGCGCTAATCCGCTAAGCCGCTAATGGGCTTGCTTCACAAGACGAAAAAACCGCAAGACGAAGAGACTCGCGGAACGGATTCTTTTCGTCTTGCAAGGCACCACTGTACAGACATGGCATCTGTCTCCGCAGTAGCAGCGCAGACTGGAGCTCTGTCATTCTCCCTGCTGGTGCCCAGGGAGGGGAGTCTGGGGCGGCTGCGATGGAGGCGACGGCGCTCCTCCTCTTGCCAGGCTAGAGCCAGCTAGTGAATACTTGTCTCTCCTCGCTCAAGCCAATTCTGCCATTGCCATCGCCAGGGGCCTTCCCATCCTCTCAGCGCCACTGCCGCTGCCTCGAGTCCCTTGTCCGGGGGTTGGGGGAAGGAAGGGGGCAAGGGGGAGGGGGAGCAGCCAAAATGAGAGTACCCCTAAACATTTTTTAAAAGAAAACACTGCATAAAGCCTATTTCCTCCCTGACTATTTACTCACCAGAAATGTGACTTCACAAAGGAGTGTAACTGACAGCGATTGTTTTGCGAGTGTTTTAGGACAGCAAGAAGCATGTTTTTGAATACTTCCTGTCCCAAAGGAGTGAAGACAATTGAACTATCTCATGTAAATTACCTCTTTCCACAATGCAGCTCTGATGTCACAAAGTGGGACTCTCATATCCTTGGTTTAACCATGTCAATGAATCTCATAATCTTATGGGTACTAGAGGAACCATGTGAGCTCTGAGATTTTGGTGCTTTGTCAGCAGCAAACAGGGTTCGGAGCCTGAAGAACTGTGATACTCCTGAATCTTGTATTTCTGTATTGTTAACATTGGTGGTCTGAACAGAAATTGCAAAAGGGGTTAACTTTTAACTGTTTCTCTTTAAGGGGATTGAATTCAGTAAAGGGAAAACAACTTGTACTTTGACTTAACCAACCATGTATTTGTTAACCTGTTTCTTAATTTCTTTTTTTTTTAAGCAGGAAAATGTTTAGCCTTAAAAAAAAAAAAAAAAGACCAGGATAGGGAGACCTAGTATTTGTTCAGAAAAGGGTTGGTTACTAGATTACTGGCCTATCCAGTAATAAGGAAGATACTTCCTTAATGGCAGCTAATGACTAGGTAAAAGCTGAATATTTCTCTGAAAAGTTCTGAGTGGGGTGATTCATTAGTATGACTGAATTCCCCCCAGAAATAAGCAACCATTTGGAAGCACTCCTGTCTTCTCAGTCATCTAGTCCAATTAAATGCTAATTCTGAGCAGAACACAAAATAACTGTGGTGGAATGGCTCAGGTGAATACTGTGGGGACACCCATAGAATCAAAGAATCCTAGAATTGTACAGTTGGAACCCAATGCAATGCAATGCTGTCCACAGCCATCCCTGGATGGGCTCGAACCACCAACCTTCTGGTTATCAGCCAGATCCAATGACCCACTACGCCACTTGAGAGTCTCCAGCACAGTCTGGAGTATCCAGGCTGGGACTGATTTGCTTCAGGTGTTGACCATAATGCTTTGCTTTCAGGTATAAGGAGAGATTGGCTATCAAGTGCTTTCAAGAGCGCGTCGCTAACAAAGAGAAGTTTTCTGATGCCCTCAACGGCCAGAGATGGAGATTTTTGAAAAGTGGCCTGGATGACTTCAGAAATGGCTACCCTCCCCCTTCTGATAACATCATCATCCGAGGCAAAAAGGGGCCCGTACCAGTAATTCTGGAGTACAAAAAACCAGGCCCTTCACAGCTCGTGCCATATACAGACACAGGAATGAAGACCAGAAGCGACATTGTGTTCTCCAAGCTCAGTGCTTCTCAGAGAGCCAAAAAGGAATACATTGCACAGACTGAGCGCTGCTTGGCCCAACATCCACTTGCCCTGTATCCTCATCTGGAGGACAGTTTGCCCCCAGAGGTAAATCATCATCATCATCATCAACAACAAGTTTTCACCAATATACATTCAATCACAAGGGGGAGTTTCAGGTTCCTTGACCCTTAATTTCACATTTCCCATTCTCACTTTTTGACCAAAGTATAGCCAAGGAAGGGGGGGGGGCAAATATTTTAACTCTTTGCATTAAACCGCACCAAACATTTGCTTCAATCACTTACAGTGGTACCTCAGGTTACATACGCTTCAGGTTACAGGCTCTGCTAGCCCAGAAATAGTGCTTCAGGTTAAGAACTTTGCTTCAGGATGAGAACAGAAATCATGCTCCGGCAGCGCGGTGGCAGCAGGAGTCCCCATTAGCTAAAGTGATGCCTCAGGTTAAGAACAGTTTCAGGTTAAGAACGGACCTCCGGAACGAATTAAGTACTTAACCTGAGGTACCACTGTACTGGTATCAAAAAGACTGTGTGGCCCACATGGAAAAGCTTACACAGCAACTCACGGTATTTTTAAAATGGGTAGATGCATTAAAAGTTGGTTGGCCTTTACAACATATGTATCTACTGAGGGAAATAATGTACTCAGGTACTTGAAGGAATGTCTGTTTCTATACCAATGTACCCATATAGTCAGGTAATTTCAGAAGCTTTCCTCCAGGTAATCCTGCCATCAGTAACAAGAGTAGTGGCAATCAGAGACAGAGTATTCTTGGCCGTTGCACCCTTTTTGTGGAATTCCCTCCTCCAAGAGGCCTGCCAGGCACCAACATTCTCACCTATTAAGGGCCAGGCCAATATCTTTTTATTCTCCAAAGCTCTTTAGTGTATGACAACACTTTGGAGGTCCACAAATGACAACACTTTGGAGGTCCCAGGTCGCAAGGTGGTTAGATTGGTCTCAACTAGGGCCAGGGCCTTTTCAGTACTGGCCCCGACTCGGTGGAACGCTCTGTCACAAGAGACTAGGGCCCTGCGGGACTTGACATCTTTCCGCAGGGTCTGCAAGACAGAGCTGTTCCTCCTGGCCTTTGGTTTGGACTCGGTCTGACCCTTATGTTTCCCTCCCCTTATGGTTTTGATCTATGGGCTACTATTAAAATGAGGCTGCATTTTAAATGGTATTTTAACCTGTATTTTAAATTGGTTCCCCCCCACCATTATGTTTTTATTGTAATTTTACTGGTGTCAGCTGCACTGAGCCCGGCTCTGTCCGGGGAGTGCGGGGTATAAATTAATTGTTTAAATTATTATTTATTATCATTATTATTGTAATTACTTTTTAAACGTGTTTTATTTTTGTATTTTATCTTACTCTTTATAAGGCACCCTGGAAATGCCACTGAAGAGCAAGTTGGAAATCTTTTAAGCAAACAAATTAATGGTTGGGAGAAGGCTGTAATGCTATACAAGGCTCTAGGGATGGCAGAGGCAGGGTGGGAATTGATTTAGTTTGCATTTAAAAATTAGCCTACCTAAGTGGCAAATTCTGAAACAACTTGCTAAAAGAAACACAGCCTTCTTCAGAAAATTGTTCAGATTTTGCAGTGCAGTTACTGGCCGAGTAACATGTATATAGCAGTATATTATGTGCATAAGAAGGCATATGTTAGTGAAAAGAACATACAAATATGCATTATATTAGGGAGCATTACATCCTAGCATATATGCTATGAGAAATTCACACTAAAACAAAACATGTAGAAATGTGGCAAAGTGAACTCAAGCTTTGAAGAATGAGAAACTGAGAGAAATCAATACTGACAGATTTGTGCATCCCTAGCAAGGACCAAGATTCAACCCCAAATGATAGAATTAGATACAAATAGATGGAGAATACAATTTGGACAAGCCTGAACTAATAACGAAATAATGGAATCATGGAGGGAAATCAAGGGATTTGAGAAATCCCACATTTGGATATTACATTAATTGTATAAACAGTATGAAAAATGTTACAGTTTTATTATTTTATTTTTTTCTTTTCAATGTATATTTTTATATGATGTTTGTTTTAATTAAAACTAATATTTTTATAAAACAACAACAACAACAACAGTGCAGGAGAAACCATGCACCTGAATGAGAATGGAGAATTGAAAAGGGGGGGAAAAGACTCAACCCCAACTGTTCAAAATCATATCCCAGAAGCTGTGAGATTAAATATATACATGACATGTACGTATATGTAATTGCAAGTCTGGGTTTCTGCAGCCACGTTTCCGAGGCCTCACCTTCCCTTTGCTTTACCCACAGATGTTTCAGGATGTGGTGAAGCTCCTAGACCCTGAAATGCATCTGGCCAGAGGCTCACCTGACTATAGCAAAACAGAAGTGGTTCCCCCTACAGTTCAGTATCGGCTGCAGCAGTACGACAAAAAGTCGGAGTCAGGCTTCAGCCAAGTAACCCCGTGAGTACAGTGTCGCAGGAGGTGAAATGTGTAATGCGAAAGAATACCTCCCGAAACTGATCTCCTGTTAACTCTGGGGTGACTTTGAAGCTTCTGCTCCTTTGAAATGGACTGCGGTGTGACCAGGGCCATACCTAGGGGTTGGCTAGGGTGGCCCTCACCAAGGGCACAGCCATGGGCATAGCCAGGATTTATTTTAGGAGGGGGCAGGCTTTATGTTGGGGGGGCAGAACTGTGTTATTTGTGATGCAGTCAGTTGTTGTTGTTGTTGTTGTTGTTGTTTAGTCGTTTAGTCGTGTCCGACTGTTCGTGACCCCATGGACCAGAGCACGCCAGGCACTCCTGTCTTCCACTGCCTCCCGCAGTTTGGTCAGACTCATGCTGGTAGCTTCGAAGACACTGTCCAACCATCTCGTCCTCTGTCGTCCCCTTCTCCTTGTGCCCTCCATCTTTCCCAACATCAGGGTCTTTTCCAGGGAGTCTTCTCTTCTCATGAGGTGGCCAAAGTATTGGAGCCTCAGTTTCAGGATCTGTCCTTCTAGTGAGCACTCAGGGCTGATTTCCTTCAGAATGGAGAGGTTTGATCTTCTTGCAGTCCAGGGGACTCTCAAGAGACTCCTCCAGCACCATCATTCAAAAGCATCCATTCTTCGGCGATCAGCCTTCTTTATGGTCCAGCTCTCACTTCCATACATCACTACCGGGAAAACCATGGCTTTAACTATTGATGCAGTCAGTCAGTTAGTTAAGTATTTTTTATGATTTAATTGATGGGAAGGAAGCTGCCCCCCTAGCTACTCCCATGGGCACAGGCCCTGTGGGCATGGAAACCACAGCTTTCCACTCTGGTTCAGAGTGGCCAAGACCCCGTCTACCTGTCTGCACACTCAGACAGATGGACTAATAAAGGAGGAGGAGGAGAGGCTGAACAGAGCAGAACGGACCCAACCCTGATGGCCATGGAGGAAATTGCTGGCAGAGTCTGAAAGGTGGCAAAAAGCAAACTTTGTGTTTCTGGCAGCGGCGTAGCGTGGGTTGTCAGCACCCGGGGCAAGGCAAGTAATTTGCGCCCCCTAACCCGGGGCAAGGCAAGTAATTTGCGCCCCCTAACCCCTAACCTGCCGCCGCTGCCAGCTTCTTCTTGCTGCTGCCTGGGCTGGGGTATTTACGGTAAGGTAGCCACAGCGGCGGCGGGTCCGTGTCAGGTGATCTGAGGCGAGTTGCCGCTGGCGCTGCCGCCCAAACGACGCCGCTTGCCCGGAGGAGGAGGAGGGCAGAGAGGCGAGGGAAATGCAACATGGCCCAGCAGCTGCAGCAGCAGCGGCGGTGGTGGGGCTGTGAGGAGGGTCTGCCTGGCGCGCCCTCCGTGGCCCTGACGTGCGGGGACCGCGGCAAGCGCTGAGAGCCGCTGCCAGCTTGTCGGTTCCGCGAGACATGGGGCTCTGCTACAGCCTGCGCCCAAGGCTCTTTGGCGACTCCGGAGGTGGCGAGTGCGCCCCCCCCCAGATGTTGCGCACGGTGCGGCCGGCCCCCCCTGCACCCCCCACGCTATGCCACTGGTTTCTGGTCCATGGTCTTCGGAGGCACTGCCAAGCACACAAGGGAGCCTAGGTACGCCTTTGGGTGTGATGAAATACAAAGGTGCATTCGCTTAGAGGTTAACCATTAGAAACAGCTTGATGTCTGTTGGGTTTTCTGCGTGACCAGTCAAGTGTGCCTCAAAACATTTGATTTTGTATGATGCTTCTATGTCTCACTTTAAATAATGATGACGACGATGCAATCTCTCATCTTCTCATAAGGAGCGGAGGAAGGAGATATGGCTTAACAGGGCAGTCTTGTAGCTGAGGGATATGTCAGCAGTACCATCGCTTGCTCCAACCCACCCTACTTAGCCCAGGCTGCAAAACAAACTGCCGAATTCCTGGAAGATACATATCAAGAATGCTTGTGGTGTAGTCAACAAAAACGCTATTCTCCTAGACACCAACTACCTTCATCCATTCTGGGATCTGGCAATGGTAGCTGGGATTGTCAAGATGGAGAATTCCATGCTAAGCGCCTGTCCCAGTTTTTGAATCTGCCTTGCAAACCCATATAGCCACATGGAAAGCACACAGCTTGGTTATTTTCCTGTAATCAGAGAGAGATGCAACAGAGAGATAAACAGAGCAGAGCTTATTTTGAGGCCCATATTTATTTACTTATTTTGACCTTTATTGACCACTCATTAAGAGCATCCTCTGGGAACTTGACACAACCCATAGAAACTGATTCTATCTATAAGCAGGCAATGTTGCAAGAGTTTCCCTTCTCTAAAGCTACTGCAAAGGCACAATAAATCTCTCAAAAATCTGCCACTTCTCATTTTGCTCTCCTTGCCTTTCCCCTGAATCTATGATTGTGATGACTTCTCGCCAACATCTTTCTTTGCCATACAGCACTTATAGCATTTCCACATAAGGAAATAAGATAAGCTGGATGACTCTGATGACTAATGTGGGAACAAGGTAACTGGCATCCCATGGTCAGGGCTGGATTTAGGTGTGATGAGGCCCTAAGCTGCTGAAGGTAATGGGGCCCTTTATATGTCCAGCTGTCCTTTGTCAACAACAAATTGTTGTTGTTGCTGTTTTTGTGTTGAATATATGCTATATGGTAATTGATGGAGCTAATAAGTATCTAAAGCCATTTGCACATAACAAAAAATGTATTTTATCAAAGTAACACAACACAAAACACTCTTACTGTATGTAGTTTTTATTTTATTTGTTTTTTTATCTTATATTTTGGAAATGTGCATCCAGTTTTTCCCCCCTTTAACTTTTTTTGGGGGCCCCAAGAGAGTGGGGCCCTAAGCTATAGCTTGTTCAGCTTATATGTAAATCTGGCATGGCCCCATGGTAGCAGCAGAACTCAAGCCAGATCATTTACAGTACCAGATCCTGCACATGAAACTCTGGGAATCTTTTGCAGGGATTTGTTCTGGGATATAAGAAGGCATAATTGTCCATTTTGCTCAATATTCAACACATGCAGCACTGTTTCTGTTCCGCTGCAGTTGGTCTTCCACCAAAAAGTTACATTATTCCCCTCACTATCCACTGTGGTGAAATCATGTAACATATGGAAATAAAGTTGTCATTATGTTATTCCTCCCCATTCAATTAAATGCGGGGGGGGGGGAGGGAAATGTAATCAATTCCATGTGACAGAAACTTGATGATCATGATGCATTTTTCATTTCTCTTTAGGCCCTGGGCGCCTAAAAGCAAGAACCCTTATACGTGGTTTAGTAAAAAAGAAGTGAGTGAGAGAGAAAAGGCAGCCCAAATAGCCTATATTCCTCCCTTGGATGAGAATGTAAAGCGTGCAACGAAGGAGTTTGTTGAGTGGGTCAGCTCAATGGTAAGCTAAAAGAGGTGCAATGGAAGACTTCAGGGCAAAACCATCAAGTGTTCAGCTGATGCAGAATGGGGGACTTCATAAAAGTCATAGAATCATAGAGTCCAAAAGGACCCTGAGGGTCATCTAGATTGAGGTTGAATCCTGACAAGACAGAAGTACTGTTTTGGGGGGACGGGGGGCGAGCGGGTGTGGAGGACTCCCTGGTCCTGAATGGGGTAACCGTGCCCCTGAAGGACCAAGTGCACAGCCTGGGAGTAATTTTGGACTCACAGCTGTCCGTGGAGGCGCAGGTCAATTCTGTGTCCAGGGCAGCTGTTTATCAGCTCCATCTGGTACGCAGGCTGCGACCCTACCTGCCTGCGGACTGCCTCGCCAGAGTGGTGCATGCTCTAGTTCAGTGTTTCCCAACCTTTTTTGGGCAAAGGCACACGGAGGTAGGCTGGTGTGCCGTGGGAGGGAGGCGGGCGAGTCGGGCGGCGAGCACACGCGGGGCGGCGAGCGAGCTCCCTCCCACATCCCATCGCCGCTCGCTTCGGCTGGCCTACTGGGCTGTCGCAGGCGGAAGGCCTGCGCATGCGCGAGGTTTTCGCGCCTTCCTCCAGTAGGCCGGCCGAAGCGAGCGGCGATGGGATGTGGGAGGGAGCTCGCTCGCCGCCCCGCGTGTGCTCACCGCCGCCGCCCCGCCTCTCGCCGCCCGAGTCGCCTGCCTCCCTCCCACGGAACACAAGGCAACGTTCCGCGGCACATTAGTGTGCCGCGGAACACCGGTTGGGAAACACTGCTCTAGTTATCTCCCGCTTGGACTACTGCAACGCGCTCTACGTGGGGCTACCTTTGAAGGTGACCCGGAAACTGCAATTAATCCAGAATGTGGCACCTAGACTGGTGACTGGACCACACAACACCGGTCCTGAGACATCTGCATTGGCTCCCAGTACGTTTCCGAGCACAATTCAAAGTGTTGGTGCTGACTTTTAAAGCCCTAAATGGCCTCGACCCAGTATACCTGAAGGAGCGTTTCCACCCCTATCGTTCAGCCCAGACACTGAGGTCCAGCGCCGAGGACCTTCTGGCGGTTCCCTCGCTGCGAGAAGTGAGGTTACAGGGAACCAGACAGAGGGCCTTCTCGGTAATGGCGCCTGCTCTGTGGAACGCCCTCCCATCAGATGTCAAGGAAATAAGCAGCTATCCTATTTTTAAAAGACATCTGAAGGCAGCCCTGTTTAGGGAAGTTTTTAATATTTAATGCTGTATTGTTTTTAACACTCGATTGGGAGCCGCCCAGAGTGGCTGGGGAAACTCAGCCAGATGGGTGGGGTATAAATAATAAGTTAGTATTATTATTATCATCATCCCTGACCACTGGTCCTGTTAGCTAGGGATGATGGGAACTGTAGTCCCAAAACATCTGGAAGGCCGAGTTTGCCTATGCCTGAGATAGAGCAACATTCTGAAGTGTGGTGGATGTGGTCTGATTCATATTTGCATTTTTTTTCAGGGCTGAAAATGTGTATTCAGACTACTTCCACGAAACACGGAATATTTGTAGAAAATGGCTATGTGAGGGATTTTTTCAGCATCCCACCCAATAGCTGTTTCTGTGTTCATCTTCCATAAATGTAAAGTCCTTTGACCAGTCTCTGTGCAGTATTTAAAACTTAGCACAAAATAGGGCACCACCACCTCACTAAGCATAATGGATATGTTTGTAATATCCTTATTTATTTTAGTGTGCTTGTTGTTATTGTTGACATCCGTCTGTCTTGAGAGACAATGGAGTTCACCTCTGGGGATGAAGTCAAACCGCTGTGTTTCCAGAAGAGTGTTAATGTGTGATGGGTGCTTCTTACACAGGCAATTTTTTGCAGTGTCCACACAACATCATTGGCATTAAAATGTCAGTCCCTATTTTTCCTCGTTTAATTCAGATTTACTCTTTTGGCATAAAATCCAGTAACCTTAATATTGGGTGTTGGAACGATTTGTTTGCAATATTAAGCCCCATTTGGATTCTCAAAGCATCCTTAGCTATTAATAATATGCTAAACAGAAGGAGAATTGTTCACTCTTTCAGAAATCAGAATACAAAAATGCATGGTCAGGGGAACTTTGACACATTTCTTTGTTCTGCTGTTGAGTAAAAAGGAAAAGGAAAGAGGAACTGAGAAACTTGTTAATTCAACATCAAAGAAAGTCTCCCGTGTGATTCACGTGCCGCATGACTTGGTCAGTCTTGTGAGGTCCTAAAAAACAGCAGCAGGGTGTAGAGCTAGTGGTTTAAAGTCTGCACTTTAGCATTAGCAGAAAAAACTTACTGCATACAGTATAATAGAGAATTTTGTGGAGCCCCAAAAAACGATGTGGTTTTGGAACATTGGTTATCTTATAATTTGCATATTTTAAGGCAATGCAGTCTCACAGTTCCTGCTACTCAGACACATGTGGGCCTTTGCGCCAGTATAAAGTAAAGGGACCCCTGACCGTTAGGTCCAGTCGTGGACGACTCTGGGGTTGCGGCGCTCATCTCGCTATACTGGCCGAGGGAGCTGGCATACAGCTTCCGGGTCATGTGGCCAGCATGACTAAGCCGCTTCTGGCGAACCAGAGCAGCACACGGAAACGCCGTTTACCTTCCCGCCGGAGTGGTACCTATTTATCTACTTGCACTTTGATGTGCTTTTGAACTGCTAGGTTGGAAGGAGCAGGGACCGAGCAATGGGAGCTCACCCCGTCGCGGGGATTTGAACCGCCAACCTTCTGATAGGCAAGCCCTAGGCTCTGTGGTTTAACCCACAGCAGCACCCGCGTCCCTTTGTGCCAGTATAATTTAGCTATTTTCCCACTTGTTTCTTTATTACAGCTGAGTACTTAGATGCATAAACAATAGCTTACATAATGTGAGCCATACAGTTCTGTCGTGTAGTTGTCTATTTATTGCACACATGTTCAAAAACTTTAATAAATACTTTTTAAAAAAAGTAACAGGGGAAAGAATAGAACAAACGTTTTGCTCTCAACCAGTTCTGGTATATAAATTAACAGGCACTGATGCTTCCTCCTCCAAATTAAGAGAGATAACATTCTGGAACAGTCCCACGGGAAGAGCTGAGCTTTGTGAAGGGTTATATTCTTATGTCTCTTCTGATGACTTGTTTGTGGTCTCTCCCCCCTCTTTGCATGTGATTTTGGGTGCTCTCTGGAGCAACGTGGTTTGGAGGCAGAAAGGTGGGTGATACAGTGTTATCCGATGAAATCTTTGGAGTGACTTCATGTACAGGTCTCATTAGTCATCTCCTCTAGGGCAGATGACTAGTAGAATCAAGAAGTAAAGTCTGCCCCCCTTATATTACATCACTTCAGCTTGCAGGCAAGGAAAGTATGATTTTGAGTGTTGGAGCAGTAACATATGGGACCGCCTCTCCTGGTATGCCCCGCAGAGGACCTTAAGGTCCATGAATAACCATAGTTTAGAGGTCCCGGGCCCTAAGGAAGTCAGACTATCCTCCACCAGGGCCAGGGCCTTTTCAGTGATGGCTCCGACCTGCTGGAATGCTCTGTCCCATGAGACCAGGGCCCTGCAGGATTTAACCTCCTTCCCTCGGGCCTGTAAGAAAGAGCTATTCCGCCTGGCCTTTAATTTGAATTCAGCCTGATCTTTTATTTCCCTTCTCTTCCCTTCCCCTCCCCTCCCCTTTTTATGAAGATCACCCGCTCTGAGACCCCACAGCAAATTCTCCCCTGGTCTCCTTGCTGGCCTAAGTAGGACTAATTCAGCCAGATAGCCCTGGGGATTATCTGATTGATTTTTGATTTTTATTGTTATTGATGTTTTTATACCGCATTTATGCTGCTTTTATAATTAAGTGTTTTAAAGTGTTTTAAATTTGCTGTTAGCCGCCCTGAGCCTGGTTTTTGAACTGGGAAGGGCGGGGTATAAATAAACGTTTATTATTAATTATTATTATTATTATTATTATTATTATTATAGCATGGGGAGGTTGCCCTGGCACAAAATTGTTAAGGGCGCAAAATTTCAGCACTCGGTGCTGCCTCAATACAGCTGTCCACACTTCCATCACTGGGCACCACTGAAAATGGCTTCTCCATGTGAACCAGTAAGTGACTCCTCCATACAACGAAACAACTCTTTGCTGCTGAAGTAACCTGCTGTCTTTTGAGTGCATGTGTGAATGCAGAGCACCCTAAAAGACTGCAGTCATATGCCCACAATTAATCAGCGTGACCTAACGGTGGCGAAACAAAAGGCCAAGGTTTTTGCTCTAAAAGCTGTGACTATTAGAGCCGGTGATACAACTAGTCTTCTTCCAGGACCATCTGCTGAAATGTGCAGCTCACCACTATTATCTTCCTTAGAGAGTGTTTGAAATGATTGAAATAGCTGCCTTCTGAAAGTGTTGTTGGGCTTCCAATTCCAGGGAGTCGAAAAGTATAACATTGACGAAGCCACCATCATGAAATTGTTTGACACAAGCTACGAATCGGAATCCAAGACGTCATCGCCCATGAAAATTGTGCAGCTTTACAATGTGCCAGGAGAGCTGAAGGAGTGCCTGGGGCGCCGTCCGGACTGGCAAACCATCAAGAACTCGATGAAGGTAAATTGCAAGAAAATCCCAGTTTCATTGGCTGTGAGTTTGAGCAAAGGAATGGCAGTGGGATGGGTGGGGAAAGGAGTGGTTGCTTAACTCTTGTGGATTTATACTGGAGCTTCCACACAACATTGTGCAGTGTTTCCTCGGTGTTACCATCTTATTGCCATCTGGAGGGGCACTCTTGCACTACAGCACAACAAAAGTGGCACAAAAAATAAACCAGAACATTTGTGTTACAAAAATAATTTCGACAGGAGCTTACAGGACATGCAGTGTTTGCAAACGCAGCGGTACGACTGCCCCGAAACCTTTGCAGGTGCAAAACAGTATTGAAAGCCAGATTGCATATAACTGGCCTGATACTGTCATGATCACAAGCCATCATGAATGCACAAGCCAAAGGATGTCTGGAGGGTTATGAATTGTTTGGCATTTCTGCTACTCAGAACAGTGCTCTTAGATTGCCACTTGCTGGGAACTCTGTAGTACTGCATTCGCAGAGATCTGCAGGCTGGTGGCTTCTCTCTTCATTAGATACCAGGAAAATGTCCACCAACTGGTGGGAATATGTAGGGAAATTTGGCCCTTAAGATGGTCTGCAGTCGAACGGGACTCACAGTAGTCCCCTGTGTCCTTTCTTGATCCTTAACCTTCAAGCCTGATGGGCACAAGTACGTTTGCTCCTTGGTTGCTTTTCCAGGCACGCAAATAGGTCTGAGGTGAGGGCAAGGATAGGTGCAATCAAGGTTGCAGATATCACAGAAGTGCAGGTGGCTCCCTAATGTTGCCATATTTCCCCCCTGTAAAGGAACATTTGGGGACTGTTCTCTCCTTGGGGAAAAGGGGCATCTTTCCCCAAAACATTGTGTTCCCCTCCCTCTTAGCTTTGCGCCAGGATTTTCCCCATCCATACCAGCAAAGGTAGGTAGTGGGGCTGGTAGAGTGGAAGGCAAGGAGGCCAACAGTGAGCGGAGCCAAGGTCAAGGACAAACAGAGTCAGAGTCAACTAATTCTAGTTTTGTCGCATCTTCCTCTGAAATATACTCAGAGTCGAGAGTGGATTTCATGCTCTTTATTCAGCTCATAGTGGTGAGGAGGAATGGAAGTTCCCCCAAGATGTCTGCTTTATATACATTATTTACACAATGGGCCCCACGTGATTGGCTAATTCCGGGATTCACCTGCAGGCCAATCAGGTTGCAGATTCACTTCCACCTGGAGCTGGATTGGGTGGCTCCTGTGGACCAATCAGACTGCTGCATTCTGAATCCTATTGTTCTAGGACCAATCAGACTGCTGCCTTTTGGATCCTATTCAACTCAGTACATAACATCCTCTCTGCTGAGCTCTGCAAGGGCAGCACTGAGGCTACAGAGGAGGAACCCAACAGGCAATGCCATCCCACGGGCTGGTTGCAAGTTGGAAGGCAAGCAGGCGGGGGGGGGGGGGTTGCCTGGGGGCAGAGTGACGTTGGTGAGGCAACCCCTGCACTTGCCCTAATGGACCAGCCTCTGTTGCATGCCAAACCAACAAGACTACATGGATGGTGAGTCGTTTTTATGTCATTATGGTGAGACGTAAGCACAAAATGAGTACAGTGGTACCTTGGGTTACAAACGCTTCAGGCTACGGACTCCGCTAACCTAGAAATAGTACCTCAGATTAAGAACTTTGCTTCAGGATGAGAACAGAAATCACACAGCAGTGGCGCGGCAGCAGCGGGAGGCCCCATTAGCTAAAGTGGTGCTTCAGGTTAAGAACAGTTTCAGGTTAAGAACGGACCTCCGGAACGAATTAAGTACTTAACCCGAGGTACCACTGTATTTATAAAATGACAGACATGGCAAAAAAACAACAACCCACCTAATACCGTGCCCTTGTTCTTTTGCCTATCAGACACCTCCTCTGCCAAAATGGGACAAGATTAAATATGGAGCCTGGTATCTTCCCCCCAAGAAATGGAAAAAGAAAAAAGTCAGAGATGAGGAAGAAATCCCTGTATGTCTGCAATCCTTTTTGGATTTAAGGAAGAAGAAGAAGGCCCCAAAGGTAATGAAAATGCCCATAGTGTTCTATGCTGGGCAAGTCTTGTTATAGGGCATTCATGAGGTAAATAAATGTCGGTAATTTTTAGCCATCTGCCAGCAATGTTTTTGTGCTTGATAGGTTCCAGTGGGATGCGGGTGGCGCTGTGGTCTTAACCACAGAGCCTAGGGCCTGCTGATCAGAAGGTCAGCGGTTCGAATCCCCGTGACGGGGTGAGCTCCTGTTGCTCGGTCCCAGCTCCTGCCAACCTAGCAGTTTGAAAGCATATCAAAGTGCAAGTAGATAAATAGGTACCACTCTGGCGGGAAGGTAAACAGTGTTTCCGTGCACTGCTCTGGTTCACCACATGACCTGGAAGCTGTCTGCGGACAAACGCCGGCTCCCTTGGCCAGTAAAGCGAGATGAGCGCCGCAACCCCAGAGTCGTCCGCGACTGGACTTAATGGTCAGGGGTCCCTTTAACTTTACATAGGTACCAAATGCACTCACTTTGCCTCAGTTTTGAATAGACACATGCATTCAAGGAACTCATTTTCTGTGTGACAAAAAGCAGGCACTGGTGGCCTTTGGGAAACATGAAAAGTGGTAATTTGAATGCAACTGTGCCATTCACAACTGACATGAGGTGTCACGGATTTTGTCCTTGGGTATCTGTCAGGATTTCCCTATTTATAGAGGGGGGCAGTGTGGGTTGGAATTTCGCCCCTCAACGCAGCTTCAGGGCTCTAGCTGATGTGTTGTCAAGTGATATGAAAGTTCAGTAAGTGGAATTTAATGCATGGTGGCTAAGATTTTCACTCACAGAAACAGTACTTTTTGATGTCGCAGTGAACAAGTATAAGCAAACAGTTCCAAAGTTTCTGAATGAGCAGCAATTCAGAAACTGACACACAAAATAATAAACGTGAATGGAAAATGCACCACGAAATTTATTCACCTTATTTGTAAGAAAATTATCCAGGTGTGCTGGTGCGCCTCTGGTTCCTAGGGGCAATGATATAGGTAAACCTGAATATGTGGGAAATAGTGTCTGAACATTCCTTTCGTGTGTGAAATTAGTAAAATCTATTGTTGCAGGTGGAGGAGGCAAGTGGGTTCCATGCAATCTACGCCTTTGAGCAATTCCTTGACAGGAAAGGCTACAGGAAGCCTCAGGTGAGCAAATCCCACTTTCTGTGATACAACTAGAGATCAGAACTGAAGCAGCTGCAGCTGTGTAAAGGCAGTGTTTTTATGTGGCTGCAACAAACCTTCCCAACCATGTGTGACCTGCCAAGCCTAACTTGACTTACTAGTGCTTGACAACCCATTGTTTTTGCAGTCAAGGCAGCAAAACCAGGCATCATTTATGGCTCATGGGTTGTACAGTGGGGCCTCGCAAGACGAAAAGAATCCGTTCCGCGATTCTCTTCGTCTAGCGGTTTTTTCGTCTTGCGAAGCAACCCTATTAGCGGCTTAGCGCTATTAGCGGTTTAGCGGCTATTAAAGGCTTAGCGGCTAAGCTGCTAAAAGGCTATTAGTGGCTTAGCGGCTTAGAAAAAGGGGGGGGAAGCGGGGGGGAAATCGCAAGACACGCAAGACGTTTTCGTCTTGCGAAGCAAGCCCATAGGGAAAATCGTCTTCCGAAGCAACTCAGAAACGGAAAACCCTTTCGTCTAGCGGGTTTTCCATCTTGCGAGGCATTCGTCTTGCGGGGCACCACTGTATAGGTTTGGTCCAGAGCAGGTGTGGGAAACCTCAGGCCAAGGGGCAGATGTGGCCCTCCACCCCTCTCTTATTTGGCCCTTGAGATTCTACCTAGGCCACACCCCTACCTAACCACACCTTCCTGAGGCCACACCCCTCACCTGCTATGCTTCACACATTTGAGTATTTTTCCCTTGTGACGGCTGCTTGTCTGGATAGAGGATAGAGGGGTGTGTGAGTGTGTGCAGAGAGTAGCCTACTATATAAAGGTAAAATTTACATTAATTGCCCTGCTTCCCCTTTTGCCCCTGGCCCTGGCCACCACTGGTATGTGGCCCCCAGAAGGTTGCCCAGAAGGGAATTAGCCAAATTGGTGGCTTTCACTATATATCATGTGGGAGTTCCATAGTTTAACTATCCTCTGTGTGAAGAAATAAGATAATGATTTGAGATGGTATGGGAACTTGCAGCATTTACATAGCACAAGAGTGCTCAAAGTGCTCGATATATATTTTCTCAGTTGTTCTCCTAGTGACCTTGTAAGGGCAAGGCAGTTTTATTTATTAGGTAAAGGGACCCCTGACCATTAGGTCCAGTCGTGACCGACTCTGGGGTTGCGGCGCTCATCTCGCTCTATGGGCCGAGGGAGCCGGCGTTCGTCCGCAGACAGCTTCTGGGTCATGTGGCCAGCATGACTAAGCCGCTTCTGGTGAACCAGAGCAGCGCACGGAAACGCCGTTTACCTTCCCGCCGGAGCGGTTCCTATTTATCTACTTGCACTTTGACGTGCTTTCGAACTGCTAGGTTGGCAGGAGCAGGGACCGAGCAACAGGAGCTCACCCCGTCACAGGGATTCGAACTGCCGACCTTCTGATCGGCAAGTCCTAGGCTCTGTGGTTTAACCCACAGCGCCACCTGCGTCCCAGCGCCACCTGCGCTGATAGTTTTATTTATTACTATTCCCTTAATGCTGACAGAGGTGTGCTAATGGCCATCAGATCAATTAATTAATGGTAGAGAATCGAACCAGGGACTTATTGGCTCATAGCTTAGGCTCTTCTTATGCATTTCCTTTTGTTTCACTGCTGACCAAACACACTGCAGGTTTCCTGAAACAATATACAGTACAAACTATCGCCTAACATAACCCTCTCCCTATTTAAGAACTGTCATTTATAAGACTATAACAATGTAAGAAAACCCCTACTGGATCAAGTCAAAGGCCCATCTACTCCAACATGCTGTTCACATGGAGGTCAACTAGCTGTCTAGAGGAAGTTCAAAAGCGGAACCTGAGCGCAACAGTTCCAGTGTTTTTTAGGTGCTTTGGTGTTGTGTTGTTTCACTCTTCTCCTAATGGATGGTTGTCAACTAAGTTTTACTCAGAGTACACCCACTGAAATTAGAGGGCCTAACTTAGCTATCTTGATTAATTTATACTATTACTATAGTTACTATCACCCACTCTTCCCTCTAAGTTCCCAGGGTGGGTGCCAGCCATTTAAAATGCAATATTAAAAACAATATTTAAAAACCTGGAACTACAAGCAAAAACACCATCTAAATAATACAAGTTCACACGGCTGTATACAATTTAGATTTACGGTGTTCATTCAGTGTGTGTACTCTGCATAAAGCTCAGTTAAATATAACCCTTTGTGTTTGTTTCGGTGTTAAAAAGACAACCATGCAGTTCTCAAAAGGATATTAACAGGACAACGGCTGGTATCTGGAGGCATGCAGAATTTGGCAGGGAATAAATTGAAGGGCTGTAATATGGAAACGAAGAGTAGCCCCCCCTACTTGTTACAATGCAGCCACATGTCCCATTAGAGAGGCAGCTGCTTCTTTTTTGCAAAGCACCTTCACAAAGATGTGATTTGCAGAAAAGGGGCAGGAGGGGAGGAGTACTAAACCAGCCCATTTCTCCGAGATGCTGCACACACAAACACACACCTGTGCCACTTCACCTTGCACTCTAGGCTACAGTTCGCTTCATACGTTGCATTTTGTGGTACGCGCACCTAAGACCCCCCAAGCGAGGCCATCCAGTTAGCTCACATGGCTAGAGCCTGGTGCTGCTGAGAATGCCAAGATCGCGAGTTCGATCCCCGTACGCGCCAGCTGCATATTCCTGCATTGCAGGGGGTTGGACTAGAACCAGCGGCTCTCAACCTGTGGGTCCCCAGATGTTGTTGGACTACAATAATAATATTTTATTATTTATACCCCGCTCATCTGGCTGGGCTTCCCCAGCCACACTGGACGGCTTCCAACCAAATATTAAAATACAGGAATGCATCAAACGTTAAAAGCTTCCCTAAACAGGGCTGCCTTCAGATGTCTTCTAAAAGTTTGGTAGTTGTTGTTCTCTTTGACATCTGGTGGGAGGGCGTTCCACAGGGCAGGTGCCACTACCGAGAAGGCCCTCTGCCTGGTTCCCTGTAACTTGGCTTCTCGCAGTGAGGGAACCGCCAGAAGGCCCTCGGCGCTGGACCTCAGTGTCTGGGCAGAACGATGGGGGTGAGCTCATCCCTGAGCTCTGGCCTTGCTAGCTAGGGGTGATGGGAGTTGTAGTTCAACAACATCTGGGGACCCACAGGTTGAGAAAGGCTGGGCTAGATGAACCCTTGGGGTCCCCCTTCCAACTCTGATTCTAAGTGTGCACCCAATGATTGTACAACGGCCACAAGCACATGCGTTGTATGGGTATATGCATAAGGATCAATGAACAGCAACAGTATTCTGCTAAATGTATGTGTGGCGACAAATGTGGGTGTGTTGCAACATAATGTGTGAAATGGCCTTGGTGTATACAGTAGTGGAGGGTGGAAACAATTTTACAAGGCTGATCCAAAGAACAGGTACTTATCATAGTCCGATTTCGGGACAGCCACTACAAGCTGATGGATGGACCTCTGCTGGGAGATAGACAGAAAAAGCAACATCCCTCCTGGTTTTCCTTGCTCTCGAGCCAGCCTTTGATAACACTGATCACACACACAGTGGGATGGCATAAGACTGAATCGTCTTGGTAGTGGAACCCGCATCTGGGTAATTCCTTGATGAAGACAGTTCAGCTGTCATGCTTTGTTGGCTTTTTGAAGCAAGGTGGTCCAAGACTGTTTCTCTGAATCAGGATTTTTAAGACGGAGAATGCCTGTATATATTTTATGACGCTCTTGTAGAGTAATTTTATTTTATTTAGTGTACCGTATTTCATTGTAAACCGCCCCTATCGCTCACTATTAAGCAATAAAACAATAAAGTTAAGAATTCATGGTGAGGATAAGAAATATTGCAACAATTCAGAATCATGAACACAGTGAAAACGACGACTATCAGTTGCAAATTGAGTTCAGACTGGGAGTATTCAAGAGGTATCAACCCTGGGTTAAACTTTTGGTTAGAGCTGGGTTTAGCCAACATTTCAGTAGATTGGGTATCTTTTTCTTTGCACTGAAGCAGCTGTGCATGTGGGGATGGGGGGCAGTGGACTGTGGCTGCAGCAGCGAGGGAAGAGGAACATCAACCTTGGTATTTTATGATGACCTGATATTTTCATTACCTGCCATGCTGTTTCTGGTTTTAATTATTTTAATTAATTACTTATGGCTTATTGTCTTTTAAATGTTGTTTACACCTAACGCTACTATGTTAAGAGGAAAGGTGGAATATAAATTAGCCATTAAGGGGAGAATAAACCTTCCCCTATCCCCCTGCAATACCATTTTTCTAATGGGAATTGCACCCATTAAGCTGCTTTTAGATGGGGTGTTTGTGGAGCTTCCTCTACTCGACCTCTTTTTTCACCTAACTTGGGAAACTCCATGGGGTGTCAGGTTAACTTCCATCCCTACAGGATTGTAGCGTAAACCACTTTGCCAGCCTTCCCCAGCTTTGTGCCTGAAATATACTCAGAGTCGAGAGTGGATTTCATGCTCTTTATTCAGCTCATAGTGGTGAGGAGGAATGGAAGTTCACCTACAATATTTGCTTTACATACATTATTTACACAATGGGCTGCATGTAATTGGCTAATCCGGGATTCTCCTGTAGGCCAATCAGGTTGTGGATTCACTTCCACCTGGAGCTGGATTGGGTGGCTCCTGCGGACCAATCATACTGCTGCATTGTTCTAGGACCAATCAGACTGCTGCATTTTGGATCCTATTGTTCCAGGACCAATCAGACTGCTGCATTTTGGATCCTATTCAATTCAGTACATAACAGTGCCCTCCAGATGTTTTGGACGCATGCTGACTGGGGCTGATGGGGGTTGGGAAAGGCTGCACTATGCTATGCCAGCAGTCATTCTGCTTGTTATGCAGCTCCCAAAGTCACAAAGTGCCTGTTTATAAAAGAGTGGCAGCCCTAAGCAGAATAAATTACATTCTCAAGCACTTTTGCAAAGCTTGACAAAAAACCAACACAAAGTAGAACAAGAAGTCCCTGTGGGCCCTGAAGGCACAATGGGCTGATTTGACACACACTCTGCCCTGCCCCTGGCTGTTCCTGAAGGAAACATCCCACACCTTCTGCCTCTGCTGCAACAATTGTGCTGCTCCCATAAAGTTAAGGACCCACCAACTGGAATAATTACCGTATTTTTGGCTCTATAAGACGCACCAGACCACAAGACGCACCTAGTTTTTGGAGGAGGAAAACAAGAAAAGAAATATTCTGAATCCCAGAAGCCAGAACAGCAAGAGGGATCTGGCTTCTGGGATAGCCTCTTGCTGTTCTGGCTTCTGGGATAGCCGTGCGAAGCCTCTTCAGGGCAGTGGGATGAAGGCTCCCCCAAGAGCCGCGCTCTCTTTAAAGAGCCACACACGCTCTTTAAAGGGAGCGCTGAGCAGAGCCTCCCACCTGCATTCGCTCCATAAGACGCTCACACATTTCCCCTTACTTTTTAGGAGGGGAAAAGTGCGTCTTATAGAACGAAAAATACGGTACTCACAATGTTCTGGTGTGGTAGTGTTTCATGGCAGGTGGGTAGAAAGAAGCTCTTGGAGATGACACCTGCACAACACAACAAAGCCCCTTAAGTATTTATCCTTGGAAGACTGTGCCCAGGGCCAACCAGAGGACAAAGAGTGGGCAAGGAGGACTGCGGCCCCTTCTCCGTGGCCAGTTCTGCAGGGTTGCCAAACTGAGTGGCTTGCAAAACTGGGCTGCAAAATCTCGCAGCGTAAGAGGCTCTCGGGCCTCACTAGCAATGCCCACGAGCTGCCTCTCGGTAATGTCCTGTTTTGCTGCCAGCTGCCCCCCTGTTCAAAGTGAGCTGAGGCACTTTCCTCGGGGAAGATCTAGCCTCTGGAGGTGAGCGCCACCTCTGTACCTGGCTACCACTCCCATTTTCTCTGCGCCCAATTCCTCCTCTTCCTCCACACCCGGGGTGTGTGTGTGTGTGTGTGGAGTGGGCAAGACAGAGGAAGAGGTGGTGGCATTTTCTGTTTTGCCTGAAACAGCAAAACATCCTGGGCCAGCCCTGAGCAGAGGGGCAGTCTTGGTTGTTCCTCTGCCCCCAGAGGGAAAACATGGCTCAGGAGAGGGCATTCTCAGTGGCAGCCCCTAAGCTGTGGGACTCCGTCTTTCCCTCTACCTGGCACCTTGATTATACAGCTTCCAGAGAATGCCGAAGTCTCACCAGTTTACCCTGGCTGTTGACACTTGAAATGAATATTTTTAGCACCCGCCTTATTTTGTGATTTTAATATTTAATACTGTGCTTTAATGCTGTAAGTAGCGATGGGACCTTAGGGTGAAGGGCAGGCAATCAATCAATCAATCAATCAATCAATCAATCAATCACAAAGACTCAGCTTAACTTAGTACCCACTTCAGCTAAGCATCAAGGCAATCACCAAACCTGTCCACCCCACAATATTCTGGTTGTGCCAGAATGTGGACAGTGATGTGCATTCGAACATGCATCTCCCTGACAGAAATAGATGGCTGCTGCATTTAGATGCTCGTTTAGGTCCTCATTTCTGCCTAACACTTCCTAATCCTGCAAGTGATTCCCTACAGCAGCTTCCTTATGCAGATAAGGTTTTGGATCTGCTTTCTACATTTTTGGTGTGGATGCTCCACTTCAGTATGGTAGATATGCTATATGGGTATCTTACCATTAGAAACTAAGGGGATATGTGATACCAAAAACCTCCCCGTTCCTTTCCAAACCTCTTCCCTGTGACCATATTAATGCACATTTATACGTGATAGGGCAAAGCTGTTTGCAAACCCAAAAGGTTTGGCGATCTAACAGGGAAAACTAAGACAAAGAAGACTGGAGCAAAGGACCTGAACAGATCTTCATCCGAGAACCTGAAGGAGCTGCATGAAGCTAAACTAGAGGAGTTCAAGAAAAGTCTTTGCTTTCCTCCCATTTATTTGAAAAGGAAACCTTTCCTCCGTTCCCCCCGACCCGGTCTCTACTTGTAACACGAATAAAGAATGTTTTAGATCATTCTTGGAAGTGTGTGGTTATATCCACATACATTTTCTTTCCTATTGATCCTTTCTCTTTGCACTACTTTTGTTTTTGAGCCTGTTTTTATACATTCAGCAAAATCAAGTCATAAAGCACATCTTGCACCATGAGGCTGTCACAGCTTTTGAATACTCTGTGTGAAGGGAGAGAGAGAATTTCTCTGCACAGGAAAAATAAAATCTGTTAGCAAAGTGGCACGGAAGGGGAAAGGTTTATACCTAACTTGGAACGTAGAGGGGGCTGCTCGCATAGAGCCCAGTTAGAAAAATCAGAAATAAGTAGTTGTTTGAGAGAAGCATGCTATGCCCTAATTAAGTCTCTTCATTCCTGACTTTCCACTCAAGCTTATTGTTGCCTCTGAGGTTCTCTAAGTGGGCTCCACATGCACAGTGCAGTGGCTGCAAGCTGATCTACAGCATAAGAGTTGCAACTACTCTGACTAGCACAAGATGTTAAAGAAAAATTCCTAAATTCCCAAACCAGGTTTGGTGCTGTCCAGATGTTTTGGATTAGCACTCCCATCAGCTTCAGCTGACAAAAGCTGTAGTCCAAAACTTGTTGAAGGCAAGGAGTTGGCCAAGGCTGCCCTAGACCAACAGAATACTAACTGGACCACACTGGCTTACTCATCCGAGCACACACACCGTGAAAGCTGTCTCAGTTGGTTACCAATTTTACTTTAACACAGCAAGTTTGTTTCTTACAACTGATGTAGTCATCAGACAATGGCTAATATGCCACAGAAAATACAATTAAGTCGTGATTTACCATGAAAAAGTTGCAGCCCCCTGTGTAGCTTATTGCCATGGCAACATGATAATTCTTGTGTTTGTCTGCTTCAGTTCCTTCTGCAGATGTTGGCTGCAAATAATTCTGCCAAGCTATTAGAGGAGGATGACCCTTCCTCAAGGAAATTATCTATGAAGACCCTTGAAGAAATGAGATTGAATTCCTCCTCAGTCTTCTAAGTATCCAGCCTGGTCAGCGAGTGCCTGTTTTTCCTTACGAAAAACCAAGGCAAAAAGTTACTTGTAAAGAGATTGCCAAAGTTCTTTCAGATTTCACAATTCCCTTCATCAGAAACTGCAGAGACAAGCATAATTTGTTACACACATAGATAAATTAACTAAGGAAATGGGTGAGGCCATAAAATTCAAATAAAAATTGGCCACTAAAATGTCTACTATTACAGGGGTAGCAGAGAGAACTATTCAGACATTATACATTAGGAGAAACTTAGTACATGTATTATGAGTGTAACTGTTGTTTAACATGATAATTTGCATACTGCATTTTAAATACTGGCTGTATCTAATAAAATAAGCTTTGTCTCTGAGCTTGACCAACATTACTACCTGATTTTGTACTTCAATGTAGTGTGAATATTTATTACAGTCATACCTCGGGTTGAATACGCTTCGAGTTGAGCGTGTTCGAGTTGCGCTCCGCGGCAACCCAGAAATAACGGAGAGTGTTACTTCCGGGTTTTGCCACTTGCGCATGCACAGACGCTCAAAATGGCGTCATGCACATGCGCAGAAGTGGCGAAAAGCAACGCACACGTGCGCAGATGTGCCGTCGCTAGTTACGTTTACCTCTAGATGCGAACGGAGCTCCGGAACGGATCCCGTTTGTATCTAGAGGTTGTTGTTGTTGTTTAGTCGTGTCCGACTCTTCGTGACCCCATGGACCAGAGCACGCCAGGCACTCCTGTCTTCCACTGCCTCCCGCAGTTTGGTCAAACTCATGCTGGTAGCTTCGAGAACACCATCCAACCATCTCGGCCTCTGTCGTCCCCTTCTCCTTCTGCCTTCCATCTTTCCCAACATCAGGGTCTTTTCCAGGGAGTCTTCTCTTCTCATGAGGTGGCCAAAGTATTGGAGCCTCATGGGGACAGAAAACATATGTTCTGTCCCAGTTTCAACCCATGAAGTTGCAGGGTGAGCCAATTAGTTGCAGCACCCTAAAGAACTCTGAATAAGCAGCTTGGTCCCCAAAAGGATGGCTTTATTCCTCTAATTCTGGGGCCAGATCATTCCTAGTAGGAGCCATCCCTTCCCTGAGAAGTATAGGACCTTAAAGGGACTGTTCCTTTGGCTTGGAAACTGAGCCACATGGGCAGGGTATAAATAAAAAGGTAAAGGGACCCCTGCCCGTACGGGCCAGTCTTGACAGACTCTAGGGTTGTGCGCTCATCTCACTCTATAGGCCGGGAGCCAGCGCTGTCCGAAGACACTTCCGGGTCACGTGGCCAGCGTGACAAGCTGCATCTGGCGAGCCAGCGCAGCACACGGAAACGCCGTTTACCTTCCCGCTGGTAAGCGGTTCCTATTTATCTACTTGCACCCGGGGGTGCTTTCGAACTGCTAGGTTGGCAGGCGCTGGGACCGAATGACGAGAGCGCACCCCGCCGCGGGGATTCGAACCGCTGACCATGCGATTGGCAAGTCCTAGGCGCTGAGGTTTTACCCACAGCGCCACCCGCATCCCCACATTATTATTATTATTATTATTATTATTATTATTATTATTATTATTATTACCACCTAGCAGCAGTGGCTGGTGCCTATTGAGACTGATAGGATGGGAGGCAGGGAGACCAAGGCTGTGTTCACACCCCTGTTTACTGCACACTCACCATGTTTCCAATTCTGTTTCTAATCTATGCTCACATGATGTTATCCAAAATGCATATGTATCCTGTTCTTCGTTATGAGATACTATGGTTTTATGTGTTGTTTGCCCAACAAGTTTCGCATCAACTGGAGTCCTTTAAATGTTCCTAAGTTGTCCTGACCCCACTACCACTGTCTCCTGGTATGTACACAAATGGAACCGAACTGAAGCAATGCTGATGTGAATAAACACCTAGAGGGGGAAAGAGCTATGAAATGCACAGGGTGGGATGGGGACTTCACCACTCTCTAATGTGAACAGACCCCAACAGTAGGTAGAGCCACAGATAGTGACAGCAATGAGCCAAATAATTCTTCTATTGTCCTTATCCTCCTTCCCGAGTTCTGCAACGGCAACATTAACACTAAGGGGAGGAGGAGGACAGCCAATGGCACCTCCAGGGCAGGCAGCTGAGGGATGGGTGAGAGCAGAGCAAGGTTGGTGAGACAGTGCCCCATTTGCCATAATGAAGCAGCTTCCACAGGATCTTGGCATTCGTCCTCCTCCTCTGGGTTATTTCTATAATAGTTCAGCTGGTTGGTTATATGTTCTGAACCAGTTACTGACTCTTTGCTGGCCTGAACTGGAACCAAATGGGTTGCAGCCAGTCAAGCAAAAACAAAATTAATAGTATGACTCCTTGCTTGGAAGTACACAGCACTGAACTCTGAATATACCGTATTTTTCCGTGTATAAGACGCCCCCGTGTATAAGACGACCCCTATTTTTTGGGACTCAAAATTAAGAAAATGCACTATCCGTGTATAAGACGACCCCTTATTTTAAACTTCAAAAATTTAGGGGAAAATATAGTCTTCTACACGGAAAAATATGGTAGCTTTCTGAATACAGGACTGCACAGGTGTTTGATTTGGGCTGGCCTAAATAAATGGTTCTATTTGACATCTAATTGTAGACTTGTCCAGGAACTGTCCTTGAAATCACCCACAGCAGGAAAGCCACCTTTATCTGCACAGGCTTCCTGGAAAGCTGGCTGTGATTTCACTTTTACAATATCAGCAGATTGGTCCTGACAGTCAGTAACAGATGGTTAAGGTGCTAAATGCTTCATAAGATAAATAAACCGCAGCACTAGTCATTATGAGAGGGTTAGGCCTCTTGTTCCAGAAATGGGAGGGAGTTGCTCTGGACTTGCTTAATCATTTCTAAGTGGTTTCAGGGAAAAACCATTCGTTTCCTGCTCCTTCTACCCAATAAACCTAGGGTTGGACCTTCAGATGTTGCTGTGCACTCCATTATTCTCAACCATTGACCATGCTGGCTGGGGCTGTTGGGAGTTAGAGTCCAGCAATATACAGAGGGCCACTGCGTAGCTACCCTTGCAGGAAAGTAAGATCTGAATGTGCAATGCTAAGTTAACAGTGGGGAGGTACCAATGGATATGCAGCTTTAAGGATGCCAAGTCTTCCTGGGGCACAATCCACTGGGAACTTCATCTGCACAAGTCCAAGTGAAATGTATGGAAGATGTGCAAGAACACTATTTCCATGGGGCTTACATAGGAGAATTTTCTGGTGGATTGTGCCCTCAAACTGATGCTGTACAAATTCAGATAATTGCAAAATGGTACAAGCCTAACATTGTAGCTTTTAAAAAATCTGAAAGGTTACAAATGTTACTACTGTTTTCCACTTCTCAAAATACCAAATGTAATGAACAAGTGGGCCCTGCAGCAAAAATTGTATATTGCTCCTGTTCAAGATACTCCATTCCACTTCTTTGCCCATACATTTTAGTATACCCTAAGGTCCGTATAGTTAAAGCTATGGTTTTCCCAGTAGTGATGTATGGAAGTGAGAGCTGGATGATAAAGAAGGCTGATCGCCGAAGAATTGATGCTTTTGAATGATGGTGCTGGAGGAGTCTCTTGAGATTCCCATAGACTGCAAGAAGATCAAACCTCTTCATTCTGAAGGAAATCAGCCCTGAGCGCTCACTGGAAGGACAGATCCTGAAGCTGAGGCTCCAAGACTTTGGCCACCTCATGAGAAGAGAAGACTCCCTGGAAAAGACCCTGATGTTGGGGAAGATTGAGGGCACAAGGAGAAGGGGACGACAGAGGACGAGATGGTTGGACAGTGTTCTCGAAGCTACCAGCATGAGTTTGACCAAACTGCGGGAGGCAGTGGAAGACAGGAGTGCCTGGCGTGCTCTGGTCCATGGGTTCATGAAGAGTCAGACATGACTAAACGACTAAACGACAACAACATATTATATATTTAAAAGTGCATTATGTCCCCCGCAAATAAATCATGGGAATTCTAGTTTTTTAAAGGGTGATGGGAATTGTAGCCCTGTGAGGTGTGAACTAAAGTTCTTAGGATTCTTTGGAGAAAGCTGCAGGGAGCATGCTTAGTCCTCACTGAGTTCTTTTTGCCCTCCCCAAGTAGGTCTGCACTTCTGCAAACTTCTGCTGACTTCCCTCTTGTATGTGGGGAATGCTGTTTTGGCTGCGCAAAACAATGGCACTTACAACCTGAAGTCCAATTTGGAGGGAAGCTTGTTGTGTTTAGTCTATCATAGCAAAAGGAAGGAAAGAAAACCACAAGCACTAACAGCACAATCCTACACGTTTACTTTGAACTGAGCCACATGGAGATAAAGACATGATTGTTTCATTTCTGACTATGAGCTGTGGAGAGGCAGGCATTCAAATATGAGAAGTCTGATGTTGCCATTGTGAAGACTGGAAACTTGTGTGTCTATAAATTAAAATGACATTTAATATCCCATCAAGTTAAAAGCTCTGAATGACATGGGAAGATTAAGAACTCTAACTACTGGAAATAGATTCACAGAGACATCCAATTAGCCATTCCCTTTTTTAATGAGATAGCTGGGAATGAGATCTCATTAGTGCGTCTTAGAATTCAAATTATGACCATGATTAAAGAAAGATAAAAATAATGGATTGAAAATAAATATTTTATTCAGTAGGGATGTGGGTATATTTTCCAGCATTTGAAGCAACAACTAAATGAGTTTCTTGATGTAGAGTCTCTCTACTGACACCTAATTTATCATTTTTTGTAGCTCTGCAAAGTCTGTATTGCAAAGCTTCTTGCAGTCAACTTCCTTGGCTGTTGGTTTAATCTTTCACCAGAATAATCTTTTAATCCTGTCCTAAAATCTGACATCACTACTTCAAGAGTAGCATCAAAATGGGTAATAAAATTGAATTAGCATAATTAGTAAATCTAATTTGTTTTAATAGGATCTGATAGCCCTGACAAGACTTACCCGCCCACTCTTTGCAAAATCCTTCATTTCTTTGGACTTCATCACAAATAAGGAAGGGCAATGGGGTATTAAGAAATGTAATCTAGTTTGTGGAAGCTCTTTTTTTTTTTAATAGAAAAAAAAGGAATTCCAGAAGAGAAAAGGGAGGGGTGGACTTTGAATCCGGCATTTAATTATAGCGCTTAGAAAGCTCAACAATCCTAATAAATATCCTAATTCTGCTTGCAATTGTTGGAATTCATCTTCTCAGCACCTGATGCTGAGCTTGTTGTGAGAGGGTGATAGAAGCAATTACCCTTCTATTGCATGGGAATAGATTAAAATTTGTTGTTGTTGCTTACAGGAAGGAGCCATGGAGGGTTTTGTGTGTGTGGGGGGGGGGTATATTGGGCAACCACCACCCAGGGCCCCACACTTTAGGCTCCCAACCTCTTGTGCAAAACTCTGCCTGCCTTGTCTTTAAACCAGCTGTGTTGCAAGCAAACAGGTCCATTCCTACAATAACACAGGCTGAGGACCTTTCTCCCACTTAACCCATTGACATCAGTATGCTAGTTCATTGAACGATGGCTGTCTGTATGTCGCCTCCTTGTGCATACATGCCCATTTGCCCAGTTTACTCAGGACATCACAAGAAGGAAATAGGCATTTTGTTTTAATAAAAGGGGAAAGAGGACTCTCAGCAAAGTAGAGAAGATAATGTCTTTCAGTCTTTCGCTAGAAGAAGGGGTGGGGAGGTGCCACTAGAAGGTGACTCAGTTATTGGCCAGAATATCTCTAAGTATCTCCCTCCCCACCAAATGGCAAATAAAAAATGTGTTCCAATTAAGGGAAGTCATGGTACCGCTCTATTCTGCCATGGTCAGAACAACCACATCTGGAATACCGTATCCAATTGTGAGCACTCCAATTTCAGAAAGACATTGACAAGCTGGAATGTGTGCAGACAGAGCAGCCAAGATGATCAAAAGTCTGGAAACCAAGCCTTATGAGGGAGTTGGATATGTTTAGCCTGGAAAAGAGGAGACTGAGAGGAGATATGATTGGCATCTTTAAATATCTCAAGGACTGTCACATGGAAGATGGAGCAAGCTCTTCTGGAGGGTAGGACCAGAACCAGTGGCTTCAAGTTAGATGAAAGGAGACGCCGACTCTATATCAGGAATAACTTTCTGATAGTAAGAGCTGTTTGACATGGAATGGACTCCTTCAGAAGATGGCAGACACTCCTTCCTTGGAGGTTTTTAAGCAAAAGTTGAATGGCCATTCATCTTTTATGATTTAGTTGAGATTCTCGCCTTGCACGGGGTTGGACTAGATGACCCTCGGGGTCCCTTCCAAGCCTACAATTCTATGATTCTACGAAAAATATTCAATAACATTTAAAAAGCCCCGTTACAGTATCTCAGTGATTTTGGAAAACAGGAGCAGGTTTTCCTGCTCAGTGCTTTCCCTTTCTCCGATCAAGAGGTGTATAAATTTTATGAAATCGATAAATGAATAAATAACAGGATATAAAGCATAGAGATGGGGGCAAAACATAAAAAAGGAATTCAAGTTATACTTTTTACAGTATTAGCTTATTAATACTGTACAGTATGAGGTTTTGTTTCTAAAATTATTGGGATGACGGGAGAAGCAAAAAAACCCCTTCAAATATTGTCTTTTTACAAAAGTATCAAATGGTGAAGAAGAGGTAATAAATCTAAATCTAATAATAATACTTGTATCTCTCCTATTCCATTTTTTATTACTGCCATGTTGTTATTTAGTGTTGCAGGATTGTGATTTTTTTTTAGATTTTATTGTTTTGCCTGTTTGTAAACACTGCTTTGAAGTGTGTACATTTTTTTCGTTCATTTTGGATGTGTTTCTTAAAATGTTTGATTTATTGCCTATGACTACTTTTGTTAGGGTGACCGTTTTGCACCCCTCCATGCTGCAGTTGTGTAACTTTTTTTCATGTTGTAAGCCACCTTGAACATGGTTCGAATTGCGGAAAGGTGTCAGACACACGAAATCATGCATGCTGTGATTTATGTGGAAATTGTTCAGTTTGGATTTTTTAAAAAAATATTTGATTTATTACCTATGAATACATTTGTTACGCTGCAGTTATATATTCTTTTAATGTTGTAGTTATGTCATCATCCCCCCCCCTGTAGTTATGTGTCTTTTTTCATGCTATAAAGCCACCTTGAACTGCTGGAAAGTGGCATACAAATAAAATAATCTATGCAGGAGTGGCTTTTTAAAAAAGCAGAAACTGGTCAAAACTGAGTTTTCTTACCTTTTAAAAAATGAACTAATTAATTGGGGACGGGGGGGGGGGGAGTTTTGAACGGATATACACCCAATGCCTGAGCCAAAAACCCACCTATATCAATAAGGTTGTGGCCATTTCTAACCCAGATCATTGTTTGCTTGTGTTTTATTAATCACATCTTACATTTAGCCATTGCAGGAGGTGTTTTTGCGTGTGGCACTTCCACAAACAAACTTGGTGGTGAGTTCCCCCACCTTTCCCCCCAGAGAAAAACAACAACTTCATACTATACCTTTTTAAAATATGGCTCTTTTTTGGGGGGGGGGCGGGTGTTATTGGATTATTGTTCTTATTTCGATTTTATATGTTGTGATCTTTTCATGTGAACCGCCTTGAAACCTCTGGGAATAGGGCGGTATATAAATAAATAAGGGAAGCCTTTTCATGTGTCATATATATATATATATATATATATATATATATATATATATATATGTTGGAAACCGCCCAGTCACTGGGGCAACCCAGTTAGGTGGGCAGTGGGGGTACAAATAAAATAAAACAATTCATGTAAATAAATGGTGCGTGGCTTGAAGTGAAATGGAAGGAAAGTCTCCTCAGGAGTAAAGCCCCGGCTGGAAATTTTGGCCATTCATCTTTTATGATTTAGTTGAGATTCTCGCCTTGCAGGGGGTTGGACTAGATGACCCTCGGGATCCCTTCCAAGCCTACAATTCTACGAAAAATATTCAATAACATTTAAAAAGCCCTGATACATTATCTCAGTGATTTCGGAAAACAGGAGAGGCTTTCCTGCTCAGTGCTTCCCCTTTCTCCGATCAAGAGGTGTATAAATTTTGTGAAATAGAGTAAATGAATAAATAGCAGCATATTATAGAGCATAGAGATGGGGGCAAAACATTCAATTCAAAGTAAATCAAGTTATACTTTTTACAGTACTGTATTAGCTTTTTAATACTGTACAGTATGAGGTTTTGTTTCTAAAATTATTGGGATGATGGGAGAAGCAAGAAAAAACTTCAAATACTGTCTTTTTACAATATTATCGAATGGTGAAGAAGAGGTAATAAATCCAAATCTAATAATAATACTTGTATCTCTCTTATTCCATTTTTTATTACTGCCATGTTGTTATTTAATGTTGCAGGATTGTGATTTTTCCTAGATTTTATTGTTTTGCCTGTTTGTAAACACTGCTTTGAGGTGTGTACATTTTCCCCCGTTCATTTTGGATTTGTGTTTCTTAAAATGTTTAATTTATTGCCTGTTAAACATTTCTTAAAATGCTTAATTTATAAGCCCCGCTGCGTTTCTCCGGGGAGGAGAGTCAGCGAGTACACGCGCGGAATGAACGGCTACCTCGGAGCTGGAGCCGAAGCTAATCCGGAGTGACTCCGCTTCGCCGCTGCTCCACTTGACACGACGAGGAGGAGAATGAGGGGAACGAGCAGGTGCGGCGGCTCCACCCCGAAGGCCCGTCCTGGGCCTGGGCAGGCTCCTCCCTGGGCCGGGCTCCGGGCTCCTCTCCGGGCCCATATAAGGCTCCCGCCCTCGCTCGGGCCTGCCGTGCCTCGCCTCACGTCTCCCCGGCGACTCTCCCCGCTCTCCGGCCATGGCTGCGGCGGGCGAGGAGGGCGGCGACGCCCCGGCGACGCCTCTGCGCCCCGCGCCTCACCCGCTCGGCGACGGCGGCGGCGGAGGAGAGCCCGCGGCGGGTCTGTGGCCGGCCTTGCTGGTGGCGCTGGTGGCGGCGCTGCTCGCTTGGCTCTGGTACGGCCGCGGAGACGGCAAGGGGAAGGAGGAGGAGGCCGGGGGGTCCCCTCAGAGACAGCGCGGAGACCGAGGTACGGCGCCTGGTTCCCTCCCTCCCTGAGGGGAACTCCATAATAATAATAATAATAATAATACTAATAATACTAATAATACTAATAATAATAATAATAATAATAATAATAACTAATTAATAATTAATAAAAAATACTGAATGACAATAATAACTTTTATTCTTTCTACCCCGCCCCTCTGACTGCGTTGCAAAGTTTTCCTGGCTCCCCTCCTCTCCTAACCTTTTCCTTTCCTGCCTCGTTTCGTCCCTCAGGGGGTCTTTGTGGGGTTCTCCTCGCTGAACCCCATATGGCCTTGGAGGGGGTGTGACACCCCCCCAAAAAACCATGGGGCTTTCTCTCTTCTCTCCGCAAGGGATTGCGTGCATCATGCTCCTTCCACGCCGGCCCCGCTTTCCCTTCTTCACGTGTCTCCGGTGGTCTTGAGAAGGGCGCGCGAGTCGGGTTAGGAAAAAACCCAACCAAATTAAATCTGCCCTCCGTGCATTGGAGAGCTTCTAGGTCAACCTACTCCTTTGGCTATAGTCTTTCTCCACCCCCCACATCCACTCCAGCAAAGTATGTGTCGTGGGGTGGGTGGGTGAGTTGAAGGGGAATCAACCCCTCTGCTTTTTTAAAAAAAAATCATTAAATTGGTATATTGCAAATTTATACCCGCACCCCGGTTTGCTAGATGCTTGAAAATAAAATAACACATGCAACTATGTAAGCGATGTTTGGCAGGGGAACAGAAAGGCTGTTGACTCCAAGGTTTCAAAGCAGAGGTTGGATGGTCCTCTGTCCTGTATGATCTAGTTGAGATTCCTGCAGGGGGTTGGACTAGATGAACCTTAGGGTCTCTTCCAGCTCTCCAATTCTGTGATTTCTACGCTCCTTGGAGAAGCCCCCCCCAAACCCCCCATCCCATGGTCCTCCAGATGTTTTAGGCTACAGCACCCATTATCCCAGTGCAAAACTCGCACCTCCTTGGGGAAGCTTGCCCTGCAGGGCTGTTGTGCCCTGCATGCAAATTCAGGAGATGCCACTTCTACCCAGGATGGAGTGGTGCGCAGTAATTATTCCTGATTTTCCTCCCATAACAGGCCTTATGGTTCCTGATCTGAAGTAATGAGGGAATAGGGAGCGCCTGCTTCCTTTAATTGCTTGAGGCCCCTATCTGAAAAGCCTGTTCCATGTTTTGCCTTTCCTTGCCTCCTCCTGCTGCTATGTGTGCAGGAAGTAGAGAGTCTTATAGCTGGCGCTTGGTCCTGGGTGAGTCTGACCCACTGTCTCAGACTTGGTGACCTGTGTGCAGAGTGTTCCCCTCTTCTCCTCCTCCTGGAGGGAATGGACCCTTCAGTCTTTTCAGAAATCCTGAGCTCAGAGAAACACAGGAAGGTGCCTTATACTGAGCCTAAACCATTAAAGCAGGTGCTGTACCACTGAGCCACAGCCTTTCATACATGAGCTACTGCAAAAACCAACTCTGATCTCCTCCTGCTGCTTATGCATGTTGCTTGGTTGCTGATTTTAATGTATTTTTAATCTTTTGTTGGCAGCCGCCCAGAGTGGCTGGGGAAACCCAGCCAGATGGGTGGGGTACAAATAATAAATTATTATTATTATTATTATTATACCAAAGATTTACACATGTGGAAGTGTTGTGGTTGCAAACAGGTTTCATTTTACCACGTTAAATGAAAACGGAAGTGAAAGTAATCATCTAATGGGAAAAGAAGTGGTTCACGTTCATGTATGAATCAGCTTTTAAAGCTGTTAATCTCCCTGCAACCTGCTCTCTCTATGCTTCTGTTTCTGCTTGTTCTCAGTAATAGAAAAGGAGATGATACGATCAGAGCACATAGCCTGAAGGAGTGAGCTGGAATCTCTTGGCTTCTTGCTAGCCTACTAAGCAACTTTTCAGCATGGCTTCAGCTGCTATGGAAAGGCAGGCAGGAGAATTATATTGGCAGTTGTGACCTTTTGCATTGCCGCACTTCCATCAGGCAGAGAGCTCTTGTCTTTTAGTTCTGGCTGTCCCATGGGAAACCTCTCCTAAGAACTTGGGCTGCGCACTAGCCTGATGGACACTTATGGGCAACGCTAATGTAAATCAAGCCATTGGCTATTTTTAGTTCCCGTGTGGGAATAGCATGTTTGTCATTAAGCATATTCATGTCGGAGCAGAACAAGAATCTTGTAAAACCTAGCAGAGTCCAAAACAATAAAATGCAAGGTTATGGCTGGGGAACCATTTCCTGACCAGGAGTTTAAAAATAAACTTCCATAAGAAAAAAAAGGAAGGCAAATGAGTGTCAGTATATTACTGTTTAGGAAAAATAATGATGGCTTCATGCCACTTTCATCTGAGTTGATACTGCTGTGTCCAACTTCTGTCCAACTAGGACAGAAAAAAAGAAGGGGAGGGATTTAGTGATACATTTGTGGGGAGCCAAATCTGGGCAAAATTCTTTCATTGGGCCATTTCTGTCATTGCGTGGCCAAACTGTCTTCTGCCATGACTATAGTTGCTCATCTGCCAACTGGCTTCAAGTACAATCTGGCATCTAGCAGCAGATAGTTGGATGCGGTCCAGTATGTGGTGCATTAGAGCCCTTCCCCAGGGTTGGTTGTCTCTGCCAGTTTTCTTGCTTATATATTTTTAGTTTTGTATAGTGTTTCACTTGCAAAGCTTCAGCCAGATCAGGGTAATGGTTGTGGCTTGCTCACTCATGTGCAGTTAAATTTGCTTTATCCTTGTAGTTTGGGGAAAAAACCTTTCAGCACTCCTGTACGTGCAACGAAAGCATTTTTTAAAAAACTTGCACGCACACTTACAAGGATTCCACAGACAGGTGTGGCTGAAGGTGCTGCAGTTGGGAAAGGCGGGAGGAACTTGATGAAGATGATCTCCCATGGTGGTGGAAGGTGGGAATTAGTAGAAATCTGATGTTCACCAGTTGCTGCTGGGGACAAAAATAATGCTTGTGTGCTAGTGTTAGATTGCAGGGGAGAGCACAATTTGTGAGGGGTTAAATTCCTTTGAGTGGCACTCAGCAAAATTCTACTCCGAGTAAGCCTACTGAAATGAATGAACCTGGGACTGGTGTTGGTAGAAATAGCAAATACCATCCCATGTAAAGAAGCCAAACTTGCTACAGTACATGAACTGAGACACAGACAGAGACCTAGAAATTGTGTTCTTCCTAGCTAACTAACATTTTTTTCTGTTTAGAATCCCTTCAGAGAAGCTATGAGCCTGCCATACCTGAAACAAAGCCAATTAGTGTGTCCAGCCCCCGGGAGCCAGTGGGGAACCAGCTGGGTCCTCCAGGAGAACATAGTTCCCCCGATGTTCCTGGAGAGTTTCCTGAAAGAGAGCACCCGGCCGAGGAGCCTACGACCCCCTTAATGAACTACAAGGAATATCTCAGGAATGAAGCATTTGGTTACCCCACGACAGCACCTCAACAGAGCCCAGAAGCTGAAGTTCATGAGGCAAGTAGTTCAGCAGAAGCAAGTGCCCCTAGTGACAAGCATGAGGAGACATTCACGGAACAGAGGTGCCATCACTCTGTGGACCATGAGGAATGGGAAATCGTCCCTGAGCATTCGGCGTGGGGAGAGGCTACGAGGAAGAGCAGCGTGGACGACGCAAGCAGCAAGGACCCAGAGCAAGCCAAGAGGGTTGCTGCCGTGTCTCCAATGCCTCAGACTGTCCATGTGACTTTTCGGGTACATTACATCACTCACTCGGAAGCCCAGCTGATTGCCATCACAGGTGACCACGAGTGTCTAGGGCAGTGGCACCACTATGTACCACTCAGGTGTGACAAGGATGGGTTCTGGTCGGACTCTGTCGTCTTACCAGTTGATACCAGAGTGGAGTGGAAGTTCATAGTGGTGGAGAATGGGAAAGTCAGGCGGTGGGAAGAATGTGACAATCGAACCCTGATGACTGAACATGAGGATCGAGTGGCCCATAAGTGGTGGGGATTTCACTGAATCTGGCCTAGCTCAGGGGTTCTGTTTTTATTCCATTTCACTATAGGGAGTTTTCCTGTTTTTGCCTACCTTAGTATATCTCTGTGCTGCATGTTTTGCCAGAATTGCCTTAGATTAAAGTGTCTCTGCTGCTAGCTTAGGCTTTTAAGATATGAAGAAAACTCTTCAATCTGAACCAGACCAAAGCCTTCCTAGTGACAGACATGTTAGAGCTGTCTAGCGGGTGGTGTTTCAAAACAGCTCCCTGCATAAAAAAGCTTTAATCCCTAAACTTGAGATTGTACTGTGTGAGGAGACAGGAGCATTGAGCGTGGCCACTGGACTGACAGAGCAGGAGAAGGTGCAGTTAAACTACACTGTAACTGTCTGTTAAAATGTTCTTAACTTATGACTGCAAAAGGAAACAATAAAGATTATTTTTAGACTGGTGACCGTCCTTTATATCTTGAGACCTAAAGTAGAAGTTGTCTCTGCCTTCTAGTCAGTAGGAATTAAACAGAAGCTCCTTTGCCCTTCCCAGGTTGCCCTCATGATTCGACAGAAATCCTTCGTTGCCACTGTTCTCACAATGTACTTTTGTGAGAAACAGAGAAATGGCGATGGGCTGGTTCCTCCCATTTGAGATGCTCAGCACATGTTTGGGACAAGTTAACTGTTACAGAAGCATGTTGACCATAGTGAAGATCCTAGTTTCCCTGGCTTATTCTCCCCTGATAGGATTTCAAAATTGCTGCTGCTTTGCACAGCAGGAATATCTGCAACTACATATCCAGAGTTTGTGGATCTTTCCAATGGAAGGTAATGGTTTCCTTCTAACCAGTGGTGGGTCTTTGACAGGGGGCTGTTGAAAGACTTGAAGGAAGTGTAGCCCCCTCTCCCTTAAGAAGAAAACAATGAAGGGAGGTTGAACTGTTACTTGGTGTAGATCAGCGATGGGGAACCGCTGGCCTGCAGGGCCTAATGAGGCTGCCCTGTTTGGCCCATGAGGCTCTTTTGGCCAACCATGCACACACCTGCTATAAGATATGATGTCAAATGTAGGGCAGGTAAAGGTGGGGCTGGGCTGAAAGGGGGTTTGCAGCATGCAAAGTGTTGCTAGTCAGATGATAGCCCTTTCAGAGCACTGTGGCTTTGACCACATGGGTTGATTTCAGATTTAGTAGGCAAAGGAAAGCAGCTCAGCTGACATCATTGCAATGTTGAGCGATTGACAGGTGAGCAGCCCTGCCCATCCGTCAAACATGGCCCATGAGGTGTGTGAGAGGAGGATCCATTCAGCCCCTGGCCTAAAGTTACAGGATTTTTTCATGTTTCAGTGTTCGTTTCTGCACAAAATCTGATCCTTACCTCAATATTACATTGATGGACTTCAAATTAGGGGTAAAAGTAAAGGTAAAGGTACTCCTGCCCATACGGGCCAGTCTTGCCAGACTCTAGGGTTGTGCGCTCATCTCACTCTATAGGCCGGGAGCCAGCGCTGTCCGCAGACACTTCCGGGTCACGTGGCCAGCGTGACAAGCTGCATCTGGCAAGCCAGCGCAGCACACGGAACGCCGTTTACCTTCCCGCTGGTAAGCGGTCCCTATTTATCTACTTGCACCCGGGGGTGCTTTCGAACTGCTAGGTTGGCAGGTGCTGGGACCGAACGACGGGAGCGCACCCCGCCGCGGGGATTCGAACCGCCAACCATGCGATCGGCAAGTCCTAGGCGCTGAGGTTTTACCCACAGCGCCACCCGCGTCCCTTCAAATCAGGGATAGAAGAGTTCATTCAGTGCACTTTTTGCAGCAGATGCAATTCAGTGGGTCAGAACTTGTTTGTGGATCAGAAAGAAACTCCCAATTGGGTTATGCAGTTACCTTGATTTTGCGGTGCAGTTTGGGTGCACAAATGCATATAAAAATACATACAGTATTTCACAGTTAAAATACAAAACACATATTCTATGGAAAAACTGTTATGGGGGGAGGAATGCATACAACTTAAAATGTAAATTTATGCATTCTTTGAAAAAGATCTATACAAAGTAGGATTGAATGGGCCTATGACTGAATGCCAGGGAGAGTGAAATGGGATGGACTTTGGCTTATCTGTGCATTCCTATTTGGAATTAAGGCAGCTGAGATAAGAGGCACAAAATGTTAATAGGGGTTTTTTTTACCCTCCAAATGGCTAGGTACTGGTATCGGATAAGGCCAGCCCTCTTGTTTGGCTGCAAAGAAGTGAAGATGAAAGTTGTTCAATAAGATGCCTCTATACTTTTCCTGAAGAGCTCAAAATGAACCAGGGGATATTATTAGCATTGACCACAGACCATCTTAAAGTACAGTATTATACCGCAAATGCTTTTGGCACCACACTTAACTTGGCAAGTGTATCGGGAGGGAACCGTGGGAATTTGCTTCGGGCTTCCACGAAAGCTTCTGCCATACTTAATGAACTCATTAATCTTTAAAGGTGCCTCAGAGCTGGTTGTTCTCTCCTCAAGGAATTGCAGAGAGGGTGCAAGAAAACAGCAACAAACATGCTCTGGCCAAATGGTAAACGTTGCAGTATCATTGGAAGGTCCTGTCCACGGTACCCAACTTTGAAGAAGTCCTAAAGTCAGTGGGATTACCATTAATATGAGGTTTTGTGCCAAAGACGACAAAATGGTGTTCATGCAATTGTAGATATGGCTTTTAATAATGTAATAGCAGTTGTGGGAAGGCAAGCTGATCGTTGGGACCTTGGCATGGAACAACTAAAGGTAAAGGGACCCCTGACCATTAGGTCCAGTCGCGGATGACTCTCAGGTTGCAGTGCTCATCTCGCATTATTGGCCGAGGGAGCTGGCGTACAGCTTCTGGGTCATGTGGCCAGCATGACCAAGCCGCTTCTGGCGAACCAGAGCAGCGCACGGAAACGCCATTTACCTTCCCGCCGGAGCAGTACCTATTTATCTACTTGCACTTTGTGCTTTTGAACTGCTAGGTTGGCAGGAGCAGGGACTGAGCAACGGGAGCTCACCCTGTCGCGGGGATTCGAACCGCCGAGTTTCCCGTAGGTATCTGCTTGGCCACCATGCAAACAAGATGCTGGCCTAACAGGCCTTTGACTTGATCCAGCAGGACTCTTATGTTCTTAAACCTACTGTGGTCCTAGTCCTGTCCTTCGGCACTTGCTGTGGTGGGTTTTCTGAATCCCTCTTCTAGTTCCTTTGCTCTCAGCATTCAATAGAAAAACATATAATACCCTTTGTCTTGTAATATAGTATAACCGCCACCAGCTTTTAAGTACAGTATATCAAGACTTTCATGCATACTTGAGCTGAAGCTTGCCACGCTCTTCAAATACTAAGACAGAAGGGGCTTCCTTGAATGCAAATATTTCTGCTGGTGTTCAGAGTTTTTTGGTTGACTGACACATTACAAAGGTTAAAGCAGTCTTAACAAGGGCTTTTAAGTTTTGCAAATGGGTTTAGAGGCATGTTGGAGACCTGTCTGAGAGGATTATCTGCATTATTTAGCTGATTCAGATGTTCGCATTTGAAAGCCACTTACCCTTCACTAGAATAGCTCAGTGTCTGTTTCTGGGGAGTTTATTCTTGCATAGACAGGAGTTGGGCGCATAATCTCAATTTGCAAAGCTGTGTTTAGCAGATAGCTTCTGTGCTGCTGGTCCAAGTTGATAAAGGAAAATCCACCTGGAACCTGTTTCAGAGTCCAGAGATACTAAGCAGTACATCTCATTTCACACAGCATACGTGCATATTGGACTTTAGTACTGGGTGGTCTGCAGGCTCATGCAGAGGTTGTCTGGGGTCTGGGTCAGCAGTGGAAAGGACTCCTTCGGGAGGTTGTGTACTCCTTCCTTGGAGGTTTTTAAGCAGAGGTTGGATGGCCATCTGTCATGGATGCTTTACAGTTGAGATTCCTGCATTTTAGGGGATTGGAATAGATGACTCTTGGGGTCCCTTCCAACTCCACAATTCTATTATTCCACAGAGCCACAACAGGCAGCAGGGAGGTCAAAAGACCTGCACTACCACTTGAAAGAAAACTACTGCCTCACTACATGGTCATTCTTTAACCAGAAGGTTTGCAGTGTAACGGTGCTGTAGCAGAGTTCATGAGAGTTTGCTCTCAAAACAGAGAACTGACCTTCCAGATAACTACATTTTGAAGCCAACTAAGTGGTACTTAAGCCTTTAGATCAACTTTTTTACAATTAAATTCAAGACCTGTCTGACCATGCTAAATGGCGTATATGTAAGATGCCATGGTTTTGCAAATACGCCTCTTTTAGGACTCGTTCATTCCCATTACAGCTGAAGCTGTGTGTTTATTATAACAGACAGATACAGGGGGTTGCATCTTGTGTAAGGCTGCAGCAGTCCAGCTCAAACCTGTTCTGAATCTGTACCCATCTGAAGTTAGCTGGGGCTTCTGGCTAGCTGTTTAGGGAGACAGTGCTTAGAGCACATTAACACTGTCTTTTCTAGTACAACAATTAATTAATTAGACCTAGGGGCTGGGCATATAATAGCTTGTTTTTTTATAATCTAGTAGTAAACACTAGCTCGGTTTTAGGAAGGTCTTAACCTATTCTTAGACTCAAGAGTGGGAATATTCCAGTTTTCTAAAAAAGGTAACAGCCATGCTCAAACACACCTAGAAGACAGCAGGGAGAGTGTTCCGTACGTTATATATGTATCTCTGAATGTCTGGCATGCTTGGCATATTAGATTTATTTTTAAACTACCCAAGAACATCAACATGTGTGTTTGAGTAAATGGCAGGCTCTGATCAGTCTGAAGCAACGGGTAGCATGAAAGTCCGGGTCAGTATTTTCATTCTTCTTAGTTAACTCAAGATTATACCAACTGTAGGATTTACTCCATTGACTTGGCAGTGGATTAGTAACTTTAAAATCACGCCTGTATTTGAATGCAACCCTTTGGAAATGGGCGCTGTTTACTTTGGCTGAGATGTATAAAGGGAATGAAAGAGGAATGTGCTGTGCAACCTTACAAAAGACCAAAGTCTACATAGGAACTGAACATAAACACATATACCGAGGGGGTGCGGTTTCATGGGGAAGGGAGAACTGATGGCGCTTCTGCCAGCCTGCAAGAGCAGTCATATGGTGGGTGGGTGGAGAGGCAGCCTTCTAAGCAGAACATAGAATACGGTTAGATGGCACCCGTTGGCACCTCCATTTGAGACAGGGCACCCCTTAATTCACTGCACAGCCAGCCACCTTGGCAGCAGAGAAAGGAAACTGTAGCTTGTGTTTGCATTGAGTAAGAGTTGCATGAATGTACAAAGTAACAAGATAAATTCCTCTGAGCACTGGCACAGATTTCCAACCAGCCCCTCCCTCCCCCAACTTTGACTGGAAAATGCCCTGTGAGGGGTAGGGTGTGTGAAAATCATAGATATTCATTGAAATCATAGCGT